AAATAAAAGCAATAAACAATTACAAAACCTCAAAAACGAAAGAAAATACAATAATACAAAACATCAACAATACATCGACACATTAGAAATGAAAAAAAAGAAAAACAGAAACATTTAAAAAACACAAACCTTTAAAAAATAGAAGGGAAAAAAAGAAAAAGAAAAAAGAACAACAACCCCCCCGTATTTTCATATCCTTATCTTTCATTTGCTTATTTCCTCGACTTCCTCACACCTCCTTTTTTGTATTCTAGTTCAATTAATTGTTCCAGCAAGTCCTTTCCCTCTTTCTCAAATTTAGTTCCATAATTTATCTTAACGCAATTTAACCTTAAGTTTAACCTTTATCCATTATCAGTCTATTCATACTTAACTCTTTATAACATTTCTACTAAAGTCATATAACTTCTTTCCAGCATCCTTCTAACATTCATTAATTTTACAATATTTCTGTAAATATACTTTAAATTTTTTTCAATCTTCTTCCACCGACTCTTGTCCCTGGTCTCGGATTCTGCCAGTCATTTCCACCAATTCCATGTAATCCATCAGCTTCATCTGCCATTCTTCCTTGGTAGGTAGATCTTGTGTCTTCCAGTGCTTTGCGATAAGTATTCTTGCTGCTGTTGTGGCGTACATGAAAAAAATTCTGTCCTTCTTTGGCACCAATTGGCCTACCATGCCCAGGAGAAAGGCTTCTGGTTTCTTTAGAAAGGTATATTTAAATACCTTTTTTCATTTAATTATAGATCATCTCCCAGAATGCCTTAATCTTTGGGCATGTCCACCAAAGGTGAAAGAATGTACCTTCAGTTTCATTACATTTCCAACATTTATTATCGGGCAAATGGTAAATTTTTGCAAGCTTGACTGGTGTTATGTACCACCTGTAAATCATTTTCATTAAATTCTCTTTTAAGGCATTACATGCCGTAAACTTCATACCAGTGGTCCATAACTGTTCCCAGTCAGCCATCATAATATTATGTCCAACATCTTGTGCCCATTATATGTTGGCCAGCTTTCCTGAGTATTTTTCCGTTTTACTGCTATGGCTTCTACTGGAGAAGTCCACCACGGGACTTTAGGCTCCATCAGGTCTTTATATTTTTCCCATACAGCAAAGAGTGACTTTCTTATTATATGGTTGGTAAATTTTTAATGAATTTTTGCTTTTCCATATATTAGGTGGGCGTGCCATCCCCAACGGTTGTCAAAACCTTCCAGGTCCAGGAGGTCCGGATCCTGCAACGTGCACCAATCTTTTAGCCAGGTGAAACAGGCAGCCTCGTAGTAAAGTTTGAGTGTCTTCAAAGCCCATGAGACCTTTGGTAAAGGCTGGAGCACTCGCAGGCCAGTGTTTCCCAGTTGTCAGTGTTTATACTACATTTTTTAAAGATTTGCCTTGAGACAGTCTTTAAACCTCTTTTGTTGACCACCAGCATTATGCTTTCCATTTTTAAGTTTGGAATAGAGTAGTTGCTTTGGAAGACAATCATCAGGCATCCACACAACATGACCGGTCCAACGAAGTTGATGTTGAAGAATCATTGCTTCAACACTGGTGATCTTTGCTTCTTCCAGTACACTGATATTAGTTCACCTGTCTTCCCAAGTGATGTGTAAAATTTTTCGGAGACACCGTTGATGGAATCTTTCAAGCAGTTGGAGATGGCGTTTATAAATGGTCCATGTTGCACAAGCATATCGTAAGGTTGGTAGTACAATAGCTTTGTAAACAAGCATTTTGGTTTCCTTGCAAATGTCCTGGTCCTCAAACACTCTGCACTTCAATCGATACTGAAAGCTTATCTCTAACTTGTTTTTGCAGAATTGTGAGAGGACCTCAGCAGCTACAGGGGAGTTGCGGTTAAGGAGATGTTCTTTCCAGCACAGTGTAATAGCTTATCTTTTAGAAGTGTGATACCGTCTGCCAAGCGTAGGGGGCATATGCCATGATTTATTGGCCCATAGATGGCCTTTGTGGCTTTAAAAAAACTCTGTGCACCATGAGTGCAGAGCACAGCCATCATGGCCAGTAGCCTTCATAGTTCATTTCCTTTTACAGCCCCCTTGCCATTTTGTTTCTCTGCTATCACATGTATTCTTTGCACAGGGAAAAGTGTTACACTGAGAAATGCATGCATTTATTTAGACTGCTCCCATATTGGCTGAGTTTTCCAGGGCTGGCAGTCTGGATTAATCTTTTTTTAAATAACAGTGATCAAACTATATGGAAATGAGCAAGATAGAAATGAGCACCCCATGGCTTGTTTTTATAGTGTTGTTTTTCAAAAGTCTACCCTATGATGTGTTATCTAAAGGAGATAAGGAACAACACTGAATGTTATTAAATCTAGAATGCAGAGGGACCCCACTGAGTAATCCAGCACGTTTATTTTTCAGAATAGCTTTTGGTGACACCCGAAAACACTGAAAAATCAGGTTTTGGGGTAACTAAATTCCCTAAGCTGCTTTCTGTCTGATCTGCCTTCTCTAGTCATGTGGGCTGAATCTTGACTTGAAATTCATTCATTCCACTCGCCACCCACTAAGCTTTCAGGGAAATGCTGTGTGTGTGTGGGAAACACCTTTGGGTACTTTCACAATTTTCTTGGAAATCTTGAGGGTGGAGGATACCAAACAGAATTTCCTTACTTCGCTGCAGATTTCACCACCCCTTTCCCGATCTGCCCCCCCTCAACCCTTTTCCTTGAGAAGGGGAAAGGGATAGCTGGCTGCAAGGGGACTCTTTGGGAGACAGAAGAGTGCGTAGCAACCTCTCTTTAACTGGAAATGCTGATCCACAGCTTGTCTTGCTCTGCTCTTGCTGACTCGCTACATAAAAGCTGAGACTATTCTGCTGATTAACCGTCTGTTGTCTTCTGGCTTTCATGGGATTCTTGCTCTGGTTTATTGGTTGCTGCGTTGGCTGTTGCAGATTTATTTATGTGGTGTAAGATGCTTGGCCCCAGAGAGGCAAAAGGTGGGATTTATGTTCATTTTATTCAGACCTGGTCTTGGCAAACTATGGGGATTTATTGCTCGGTTGATCAAGACCCCAGGCTTGTGCTAGTGCACAGAACTGACAAGTGACCATCAACTTATGTAACTGGAAACACACAGTTCTGCATGTTCCCATCAGCTAAAATAGCCTGGGTGAGTAAGTGGAGGCTGCTCCCTTCTGCCTCTCATAGGAGTGGGAATGGAATGGCAAAAGTGTGAGAGTGGGTAGGTGAAAAAGAGGACAGGGCTCCTTCACCTCTTAAAAGCTGTGCAGATGGTGGAATTGCACCACTGAACTAAGTGGAGTTTACTCCTCGGAAATTATGCACTGGATTGCAGTCACTGCTGACCGGGGATGTGAACCTAGGTCTCCTCAACCCAATTCCAAACATGTTAACCATTATACCTTCTTTGTCAGGATTAGGAAGCCTCCAGTTTAAATCTTGCCTCTGTAAATTCACTGGCTGGATTTGGGTGTCAAATGCTCCATTCCCATCTAGAATGTGGTGGGTTAAAAAACGCCAGTCCACCTCATAGATCTGTTATTAACTTCAAGAAAATACAGAGAAAGTTCTGGGAACATACTCAAAAGCTGTCCATAACAGTTAACTGATTCCATCATTATATATTTCAGTACAAAATAAATTTCACTAATTTTAAAACTTAGGTACAAAGCAATTTGCAAAGGGACAGGTATTTCAATTATTTTGCAGGGTGGGAATCCATCCTTGTTACAAAGACTGTGCATCCCACTGTGCATGCCACGGAAAGTAATCCTGCTTAGGGGAGCAACACCTGCATTTGGGTACACGGGTGAATGTGGATGTCCGTCCTCTGAACTGCATTAATATCAATGGAGCACATGTTTGGATGTGCATCCCAGAACCATCCCGGTTGTGTTTACAAGCAGAATACAGCACCAACAGAGTGGAAGAATGAGGGATAAAAGGAACAACAAATATTCAGAAGAGAAGGGATGATCTTTTCTTATTTTTGCAACCCCACAAAATGCCAACTCTTGCAGCTGCAAGTTGTGCAGTTCTGGCATAGAAAGCACTGCTAAGTCCCAAATAAAATCAAGGTATACGTAATAGAAATGTTTAATTCTAGCAGAATTGTGTCCGAGGTTCATTTAAAAGTGTACCAACAAGAACTAAAAGCTTGTGTGTGTGTGTGTGTGTGTTTGGAGACATTGTATTTATCTGCTTCTACCAGGGAGCATAATTTGATTTAGAAATGCATCAAGTGTCCTGGAGTATAGGATTGTAAACTATTTCCCAAAGTTAAAAACAAAAGTCTAAGAACACAAGTTCGCTGTCTTTTTGTGTGTGTCATTATAGACTTATGAGGGGGTGGGGAGACCTATAGATATCATTTAACACATAAATCCTAAACACCCGGACTTTTCTCATCCCCAGATGGAACCATTTACAGAATTCTGTAGCCTTGCTTGAAACTTCAGTGATCTGAGGAGCTGTCACAACCTGAGAAGTGCTGAAAGGGAAAAGAAGGCAGCCTCTCAATCAGACACATGTCACTGATCACTGGGGGGTTAAAATAGACCCCTCCTTCGTTCTTTCATCTTGTCATTATATATTGCTCTTCCCCCGATATTAGAACCAGTCCCTTGTATGTATGTTTCCCTGACCTACATTTTATTTTTCAGGTTGCAACGGTTAACGTTGGGGATTCGGTACGGTGCCTCAGACAATGAGTGAAGCAAGCAGAAACAGCGGTCTCCGCTTGGCCACATGGTGGAGCATCGCTGAAAGAAATCCCGGTACATTTTAACTCATTGATGTTACCGTTCACCGAATTTGAAAACATTACGAGAAAGAAAGAAAAGAAAGAAAAAAAGATGTAACACAGTGAAGGCTTCTCTATCTTCTTTTAAGGGTCTTGTGTGTGTGTGTCTGCTTAAGAGAATTTTCCTCTGCTGATCCTGCAATGCTTAGCCAGGCAGCTGAAGGAGATCTGGAAGGAGCCTTACTGAGATGACTGTGCCGAGCATCAGCTCCAGTTGCAGTGGTGTTAACAGTGTCTGGTGCAGCAGTAACGGCGGCGGCGGCAGCAGCAACAACCACAGATATGGCCAAGAGCATCATCTGAGTCCCACTGGCCACCTAGTCACAGCCATCTGCCTTGGCATCATTGGGATTCTGGGTTTCCTAAATAATCTCCTGGTCCTGGTACTTTTCTGCCGAAACAAAGTGCTGCGGTCTCCGATTAACTTGCTGCTGATGAACATTTCAGTGAGTGACCTGATGGTGTGCATTGTGGGTACCCCTTTCAGCTTTGCGGCCAGCACTCAGGGAAGATGGCTCATAGGGCCAGCCGGCTGCGTGTGGTATGGCTTTGCCAACACCTTGTTTGGTAAGTACCACTTTGTTGTCCTGCACCTGTCTAGGAGCATGCTTCCTTCACTTCTTCTCTGTGGCTTGGACCCAGTCAGGGGCTTGCCTACTGAGCAGATCCCATCTATTGCCTGCTAACTCAGTGTGCATTTTCTTTAGAAAGCTTTGCATCATCCCAGAAGGAGGTTCAGTGCAGCTTAGGTCTCTGGATGCTGCCTTACAGCCTCTTTGAGATACTAACAACAAACTAGATCATAAAGACCAGAGTTGGTAAAGGGCTTGTGATGGTGCTGGTTGGAGGAGATGAAGTTCTATAAGTGTGGAGGACTCTGAGTTTGAAGGAACACAGTTGAGGGACACCTTATTCCCTTTATTTACAAGTTAAGTGCATTATTTGGATGAGAGGTGATGTGTGTGTGTGTGCGCGCATGTGTGAGTGAGTGAGAGAGAGAGAGAGAGAGAGAGTGCACACACAGGTGCATAGAAGTACCAGAAGTCCTATAGATCCCAACCTGATACCCTTCAGATGTTTTGGACTACAACTTCCACCAGTCCCAGTCAGCATAGTCAATAGCCTGGAATGATGGGAGTTGCAGTCCAAAACTTCAGGAAGGCACTAGGATGGGGAAGAGTGCTTTAGATTAAACATGCAAAGGACTCTGGTGATTATGGAGTGTAAATAACATAGTCAAAAGTATTATATGCTGAGAGCAAAAACAAGGATCACCTATCTATCATCTATCTATCATCTATCTATCATCTATCTATCTATCTATCTATCTATCATCTATTGATCGATTGATTGATTGACCTATCTATCGATCTATCGATCTATCGATCATCTATCTATCTATATCTATCTATATCTATCTATCAACCATCATCTATCTATCTATCTATCATCTAGCTATCTAGCTATCTAGCTATTATTTATCTACCTATAAAGCAATGAAAGTTTTTGGAACTAGGTTTGGAACTAGGTGAAAACAGGACTAGGTTGAATAGCTGGGACTACAAAGGGAACAGTAAAAAGGCAATGGAGCTGTATTCCTGCATTGACAAGTCTGCAGCTGTGCTTCTGTTTCATTAAGGGAGTCCTGAGATTTGTGATTAGCTATAGTATTGCGAGTATAGGATGAAGGGGGCTTTAGACTATTATGGTAGGTGGGGAATGACAGCATTGCTCTCTGATGGTCTGCCCCTATTAACTTGCTTCTGGGGTAGACATGCATAGAATTGCATAGCATCTCAGTTATATTGTAGCAAAGTTTAGCATTTGGGGGCTCGAGTATATGTCTAAAGAGCTGAAGGATTCAAATGCAGTGGTACCTCATGTTACGTACTGTCCCCCTTATAAATGCTTCGGGTTACGTGCTCCACTAACCCAGAAGTAGATGCCCCTTGTTGTGAACTTTGCCCCGGGATGCGAGCGGAAGTCGCGCCCTGGTGGCGTGGCAACAGCGGGAGGCACCATTAGTGAAAGCACGCCTCATGTTACGAGTGGTTTCCGGTTATGAACCGATTAAGGCTCTGGAACCGGCTCTGGAACCGATTAAGTACGTAACACAAGGTACCACTGTGTGGTTATGTATTTTGGTGTAGGATTGCCGCCTTAATAACTTCAGTTTGGGTCCCCTGTTAAGTGTTTAAGAGCAATGTAGTGTTTTGGTTTGCGCTTTTGCCATATTTGCCCTTCAGTGGTTTGCTATTTTGTCATGCTACTGATCTCCTTGTCTTCATTTTATGTCTAAAACTCAATGCAAAAATTCAGCTCCATTGGTTCTACTCAAGGGACTGATCATGGTTCCACATCATAATTAATACCCACAACTTCCAACATGGAATCACTTGATGCTTCTGACCAGCTCCAATACAAAAATTAAAAACCTGCTAATAGTCACATTTATATTGGTCTGTACAGTGTACAAAGCTTATCACCCAGTTCAGTATTATTATCCCTGTAATGGATAGCGGTGTGGTGGCTTTCATGAAAATGGCTTTCATGAAACTAGCCAGTATGTTCAGGACAGAGATAGGTTTTGAACTGGTGTTCTTTAGCTTATTGCTCTCTCTTAAAAACCACGTTGCACTCTTTCCCTCACACATACAGTTTTGTGCTTCAGAATCAAGAGCAAAGCCAGTGTCAGAGACAGGATATCACTGCTGCTGAGTGAGGGTGGTTATGAAACAACAACACTAAATGTACCCTTTGAAAAGACATCTGAGGCTTCTTCTCCTTTGCATATGTCATGTTTTCATGGAGAAACTGCTTGGCCTAGAAATTTCAAACTTTCCCCAGGTATCGTTGAGAAAGCTTTTGACGACCTCTCCTTCTTGCCTGTATTTCAGATGTGGTCTTATGCTTCTTTTGCAAGTTACTTTGTAAAGAGTCTGGTGCTCAGCTGGTGGCCCTGAAGGTTTTGCTGCTGTTCTCCTTTAAGTGTGGCTTTGTGTGCTATGTCTCAGTTGTCCCTATCAACAATGCATTTTGGCTGGATTTCAGCTAAAAGTCTAAGAGCCCCGATGGATCAGACCCCAACTTCTATCTAGTCCAGCATCTTGTTTCCCATAGTAACCAGCCAGAAACTTGCAAGCAAGCAGGAGATGAGGGCAACAGCCTGTCCTGCTATTGTTCCCAGCAACTGGAGTTTAGAGATATGCTGCCTCATTTCTGATCCTGTATGTAACAGCATAGCAGACACTGGTAGCGTTATTCTCCATGCATTTGTTGAAACATCCTTCAAAGCCATTTTAGCTGGTGGAGCAAATTCCATAATTTAACTACACACTGTGTGAAGAAATATCTCCTCTGGCTTGTTTTTCATTCAGCTTCATTGGTTGACCATAGGTCCCGGACACCTCTATAATGTCCTCCCATTACTCATTATTCAAGCAGCATCTATCTCTGTTTTGCTCAAGTATTAAAAGCACAGGAGCTCTGCCTCTTTTGTATGTGGCCACCCTAAGTGTTATTTCAGATCAGGGCTCCCCCCCCCCCCCAGCTGGAGCTCACCAGAGCTCAGCTCTGGCACCTCTCAGGTGGGTGCCATTGCCATTTTAAGAGAACAAGGGCGAAGTTCGTGGTGAGCTCTGGCACCTCTTTTTCTAGAAAAATAGCCCTGCTTCAGATCCTTTGATCCTTGTTGTTGTCGTTTTCCCCGTTTTCTCCAACTCTGCAATATCCTTTCTGAGATGTGGCAACCCAAAATGTAAACATTATTCCAAGTGAGGCAATAAATATCTCTATCATTATGGCGTCTATAGCCCACTCCTCCTCAAAGGAGCTCAAGATGGTGTAGGGGGCTCCTCCATCTCACACATACTTTGTCCTCATAACAAGCTTCTGAGGTAGGTTAGGCAAGAGAGAGAGAGTCTGCTCCCAAGATCATCCCATAAGTTTCATGGCTATGTGGGGATTTGAATCAAATGCTCTAACCATGATGCCTCTTTTCCTCTTTTTAACTCTATCCAAGTTGGTGGGCATAACTGCTTCCTGTGGCAGTGAGTTCCATAGTTTCATTATGTTCTGCATGAAGAAGCGCTGTCTTTTGTCTGTGCTGAATCTTCCAACATTCAGCTTCCCAGGATGCCCCTGAGCTCCAGTCTTATGAGAGGAGAAAACTTTTACTAAACCCACTTTCTCCATGGCGTACATAGTTTTTATAAACTTTTGTAATTTTGCCTCTTATTCGCTTTTCCTGTAAACTAAAAGTCCCAGACGTTGCAACCTTTCTTCATAGAGGAAATCCATTCATACATCCCCTTAACCATTTGCATTGCTGTTTTCTGAACTTTTTCCTACTCTACAATATCCTTTTTCAGGTGTGGTGACCAAAAGTGTGCACAGTATTCCAAATACAGTCACATCATAGATTCATATAACAGTATTATGATATTAGCAGTTTTATTTTCAGTCCCTTACCTAATGATCCCTAGCATGTCCTTTGCCTTTTTCACAGCTGCTGCAAATTGGGTTGATGTCTTTATCGAGCTATCCACTATGACCCCAAGGTCTGTTGCTACCAGTTCAGTCCCAATGAGTGTATATGTGAAATTAATACTTTTTTGGTCTGGCAGGCATCACTTTCCTCTTTCTCACATTGAATTGCATTTGCTGTTTATTCCTAATTTCTGCTACTTGCTGTTTAACCAATGCCTGATCCAGGAGAGTACCCCTCCTCTTATTCCATGACTGCTAAGCTTAATCAGGAAACTTCTAAGGCACAGTCATTTGGGTAGCTAGAGATTTTATCTCTTTGTTGTTACCAGAGCACTTAAGGAGCCAGTCTTTGTGAGGATAGCTGAAGTCACTTGTAACTGCAACATTCCCTCTTTTGAATGCTTCCTTCATTTCATCCTTCATCTCAATATTTCCCTAGGCATTTTGATCAGGCAGATGATAGCACACCCACAGTACTAACTTAAACACCCACTGGTCCCACCCTGGCTATCTGGCAGTTGTCTGTCTGCAGTCCTGGGAATAGATTAAGAAAATGCATAAGCATCTTTTGAGAAGAAGAGTGAGGTGTGCCTCCAAGTTTAATTCAGAAAAAGGAATATCTTTGCACATCTATAAGGTCAAAGTTTAGCACTGATCTAGATGAACAAGGATGATTCCCCAATTTTCTTCTTTTGAAGCAGAGAACAAGTAGAGGTGGCCATTGCAATCCCAACTCTCCAAGCATTGGGAATTAAATTACAACCAGGATGGTGTTTTTTCTTTCTTTTTCTTCTTGTTGTCTGTGCAGACAGACTTTTATTTACTGGGATCTTTCTGTGAATCATGATTTCTACCCACCTTGTTTTCAGCTGTTTAAAATAGGCATCATTTCCTCTTCACCAATATATTTTATTAATATTCCCTCTGTTTCTGGGAGCTCATCCTTAGGATGTGACAATATATTTCCTTTTATCAAATCAGCAGCAGAGCACAGTGGAGAGAGACTGCTGTTCTCTTTCTAACACCTTTCCACGCTTCTGACGCTATCCAGACTGGCTTCACCAGAGCATGCTCCTATCCACCCGGGTGCTCTGATTTCTGACCTAATCAAATGTTTTCAGTAGGTACACATTCTTATTTGGTTTCTGTTTTCAAAATACACTTCAAAACCAGTCTCCTTCAAAAAGGCTTTTATGCACAGTTTCTGCACCAGGCAAGGATCTGCTTCCCGCTTGCCTCTCATTAGTTTCTTTGTTAGGAATCCAGGTTGTATTTTAGTATTTGACATTTAACCTTGATACCTTAGAAAGGAGCTAATGAGAGGCAAGTGAGAGGCAGGTCCCTGACTGCTGCTGGAATATTTCCAAGCAATTTAGAAAACGCTGCTATCCATGGTTAGTGTGTGTAGGTTTTTCACACTAGTACATTTCAGTGGCTGGAGTGGACTTGCTCAAACTTTTCATGCTCCATCCATATTAAAGAACTTTCAATGTAAGGGAAAGCTGCAAAACACCTGGCGTACACCAGCATGGTGTAATGGTTAGTGTGTCAGACTAGGACTTGATAGAACAGGGTTCAAATCCTCACTCAACCATGAAGCTCACTGGGTGGCTTAGGGCCAGTCACTGCCTCTCAGCCTAACCTACCTCACAGGGTTGATGTGAAGAGAAAATGAAGAGAGGGAGAAGCATATACAATCCTTAGATGAAAAGATGGTATATAAATTAACTGACTAAATAATAAAATTTTGTTGAGTGGAAGAAAGTTAGGCTGCCCATAATGGTGGCTCTTAGTTCAATCCAAAGCATGTTGACTCAGGAGGAGTAAAAAAGTAAAGGACCCCTGACAGTTAAGTCCAGTCACGGACGACTCTAGGGTTGCGGCACTCATCTTGCTTTACTAACCGAGGGAGCTGGCGTTTGTCCGCAGACAGTTTTTCTGGGTCATGTGGCCAGCATGACTAAGCCGCCAGAGCAGTGCATGGAAACGCCGTTTACCTCCCCGCCAAAGCAGTACCTATTTATCTACTTGCACTTTAACATGCTTTTGAACTGCTAGGTGGGCAGGAGCTAGGACCGAGCAACGGGAGCTTACCCTGTCATGGGGATTCGAACCGCCGACCTTCCAAGCGGCAAGCCTACTAAACAGGTCCCACTAAATTCAGTAGGACTTGCTGTCTTGTAGGGATATTTTTGGGATCACAGCCTCAGAAACAGCAACTGAGACAAAATATGGCTGCTTTCTCCAGCTCGGTCCCCTTCAGATATTTTCAATTACAATTCTCATCAGTCCCAGCTGGCACAGCAAATGGCCAAAACATCTTGAGGGCATCAGGCTACAGAAGGATGACCTAATCAAAGCTCCATTGACTGCAGTGACTCTGAGGAAGTGTTTGAGGGATCATCCCCTCCATTCTGAATGTGTGACTTGGAACCCATCAAGCTGAACCCCCATCATTCTGCCCGGACACTGTCTAGCTCTGAGGGCCTTCTGGTGGTTCCCTTACTGTGAGAAGTGAGGTTAAAGGGAACCAGACAGAGGACCTTCTCAGTAGTGGCTCCCGCCCTGTGGAACGCCCTCCCATCAGATGTCAAGGAAATAAATAACTACCTGACTTTTAGAAGACATCTGAAGGCAGCCCTGTTTAGGGAAGTTTTTAACGTTTGATGTTTTATTGAATTTTTAATATTTTGTTGAAAGCCGCCCAAAATGGCTGGTGAAACCCAGCCAAATGGGCGGTGTGTGTGTGTGTTTGTGTGTATAAAAAATTATTATTTTATATTATATTATTACAATTTGCATCCCACAGAATTCAAATTGTAATACAATAAAATACAAGGGATGAAATAAGCAATACAAATGCAATTAAAAATCAGTATGAATATTCAATGCAGACATGCTGCAGACCACCTGAATAAAGCTCATGGTCCACAGAGCAATTTGGGAAACCATGCCCTATGAAACAACTTTTGGACTCAGTGGGACTTACTTCTGAGCAGCCATGAATAGGCTCTCACTGTACGGCTTCATTTGCACACAGATGTAGCTGAATGTTCACCATCATATCTGAGCTCCTGGCAGACAACAGTTTTCTCAAAGCTGCTCAGAAACATTTCTGTTCTTAAAGTTAACCTCTGCACCCGACAGAGACACTGATGAGAAGCAACTGGGAGGCAAACTCTTGCCTAATGTGGAAATGTTGCATGGCAAGTGTTTTGTAGACATGTGGAGAATTGAGGGAAACTGTTTTTTGTTTTTTTAACAGCACTTTGCAAGCATGGAAATAATAATAGAACAGGTGACAACTTGGAGGGAGATTTTGACTAACATGTCATGTATTTTGTGCATTTCATTGCACATTGCCTCTAGCACTTATATAGCATAGTAGCAATATATAGATATTAAAAAGAAATAAACTGTATGCAATGTCACATTGGAGAAATCCAGAGGTGCTCAAAAGCAGGGAACTGATGCACAAATGTACGTCTTACAGTTCTTAGATCTTATGACCAGTCACTGTGAGGACCTGAGGGTAATTGCCATGACAGCTAGAGACAAGCTCTTCCCATGATCCAACAAATCCAGTGATCATCACATACCCTTGGTCCTCTTGGTCCTCCCTGTGTGCCAAAACTTTTCCTTCTCCATTTGTTGGGTGGATAATGATGCTTAGGAGCTGTGGAACAATGCTCTAGCATCCATCCCCCCCTGACCTTTTGCTCCTCTTGGAGCAAAAGAAGAAATGGGACTGTGTTGATCTTATTTCAGTGGGACCTGCGCCTAAGAAAGTGCAAAGATTGCAGCTTTTGTTATATATTTTGCGGCTTATTTTGCACCAGTGAACAAAAGCGTTAGTCATTGCACCTTAACCTTGAATAGCAGCTGTCTCTTGCACACATACTCCTAAATGAACTGCATTATCAAAATTGCAACTTGAAAGAGCAAAGCTTTTGAATCCTGACCTGTCAGTAATGTCTGCGTCATACCAGACAACCTCTCAGAATCAAGATTAACATGTTATAGATGACAAGGCCGGCATAGGCCAGTGTTTATGAAAATTGTGTTTCCTCTTTTTATTTTGGGTCTGTTAACCACAATAAATTAATAATGATTTTTGCCATTTCTAAAAATTATTAATTACCATTTATCTACACCCTTTGCAACATATGACCTGCCATTTTACTGACAGAACCTTTTTTTAAAAGAAAAAGAAAATTTCCTTTGCAGGTCTTTTTAAAGCCTAAACAGTATATAGACAAAGGAAATTTGTTTAGTGAATGCCAGCAGCTCTCACAGAATTTCAGTACGGAGGTGAAACAGTTATTTCTCTGCCTTCAAAAAAGTGGCATTTGAATCAGACGATCAAATAAGCCATTATTATTGACAGGCTAGTTGCATGGTGTACTCTTAGAGATTGACAGGTTGCTTAGTTAGATTTAGCAACATATTTAGCAGAATAATGTCTTTAGAGTGAGTTTTCTGTTGCAGCAGCCATGCATGTTTTCATATATGTTGCACTTTTTCATATGTGAAAGCAAAATGACCCTTTCCAAAAGTGATATATATAGTTATACATATTTATGTGGGTTAAACCACTGAGCCTAGGGCTTGCTGATAAGAAGGTCGGCGGCCCAAATCCCCACAATGGCGTGAGCTCCCATTGCTTGGTCCCTGCTCCTGCCCACCTAGCAGTTCGAAAGCACATCAAAGTGCAAGTAGATAAATAGGTACCACTCCAGCGGGAAGGTAAACAGCGTTTCTGTGTACTGCTCTGGTTTGCCAGAAGCGGCTTAGTCATGCTGGCCACATGACCCGGAAGCTGTATGCCAGCTCCCTCGGCCAATAAAGCGAGATGAGCGCCGCAACCCCAGAGTTGTCTGCGACTGAACCTAATGGTCAGGGGTCCCTTTACCTTTACCTAGTACTCCAAAGTTCCCTGTAATAAAGGCGTGGGGAATCTTTTTCAGCATGAACTGCACCTTCCTTTCTAGGAAATGTTACAAGAGCCAAGGGCTGGGGGGGGCGCAGAGGCAAAAGTGAGGGGAGCAACTGCTGTTAAATTTTACCTTTCCACAGTAGCCTGGCTTCTATACATATTTCCAGACCCCCTTTTCCATGCACATAGGAGCCAACTCCTAGGGGCTGGGGGGTCTTGCCCCCCCAAATATTTACGCTCCCCCCCAAATGATGGGCATTGCAATTCAAATGGTGTGTGTTCACCGTGTCATGTGATCGCTTATGCAGCGCTTTTCTGTCTCCCACATTTTATTCAAATTGGCACCTCTGTCCACGCAGATAAGCAAGATGCATTATCAAAGTTCAAGGGACACATTCCAGCTAGGCAAAAATACCTGAGGTACAAATATTGTACTCTCTGGACCTCTCATGGAGGAGGTTCATGAAGAAGGGCCTCAGCTGATGATTGCAGGATCTGGGTTGGTTCATCTGGGGAGAGGGGGTCCTTGAGCTATTGTGCCTGCAAGTGCAGTCAAGAAACATTCCTTAGACCCTGGGACATTTGATGTTTCCTTTTTGGTTGACACAGAACATCCTAGCTGATAAAGCGGTGTTATGAAAGCTTGTAAAAAAATCCATAGATTTCTTATCTAGAGATATTATCTATATACAACCTTCTTTCTCCTTTTCTGCCTTTCTTCCTGGCATCCTGAAAAACAAAAGACAAAGAAGTTCCCGTGATAAGCTTGCTTTGTGTGCCAAAGGCTTTCTACAAAATTCAGTAAAGTTAGTAAACAGTCTCTGCCTCCAACTTACTTTATTGATATTGAATTGGCTTTTTTTTTTTACAAACTGGCTATTTAAAAAAATATTGATGGTAAATCTCCAATAAATCTAGGGGAAGGGGAAGGGGTTAGTCAGTAGATTTCAGGTATCCAGTCCTCCTTAGATCCATTTTGAATTGAACTACATACTCTGGAGTCTGGCCAGTTTTGAAATTGCCCCAATGTTTCCTGGAGCCATTGCCCTCATGCCTTTCTTTTTGCAGCTTACTAGTACATGGGAAGCAGTGTGGATGACTCAGACAAATGCCATGGCTACAGCTGTGGTCTTGGATAAGAGGAATATATTGCTAAGAACCATGGGAAATTTAATCAATAGCCTTGTTCCCAACACAGTTAAATTTTGCTCCAAGCAGCACCTCAGTTCCTGCAACATGAAGGTGAGAAGGGTTTCTAGGAAAGCTGAAACAGGGATTGAGGCTGCTAGTCCCAGGAATAGAATGTCTTCACTGGCTAACAGGGCCAAATCTGCCTCAGACCCAGTCTGGCTCAGTTTTAATCTCATTATTCTGAATAATAATAATAATAATAATAATAATAATAATAATTTCTACCTGCCCATCTGGCTGGGTTTCCCCAGTCACTCTGGGACGTTTCCAACAAAATATTAAAAATTCAATAAAACATCAAACATTAAAAACTTCCCTAAACAGGGCTGCCTTCAGATGTCTTCCAAAAGTCGGATAGTTGTTTATTTCCTTGACATCTGATGGGAGGGCTTTCCACAGGGTGGGCGCCACTACCGAGAAGGGAAATTTTCTAGGAAAAATATGGATGAACCAATCACTGTTTGCAACCATAGACTGATAGATGGTTTGAGTGCAAGAATGGTTTTGCATCTGTATTTGTTTTTTTTTATTAATTTTTTAAATATTTATTTATACAACAAGAAAAAAACACACACCAAAAAACACAAATACCAAATTACACACAAATTACAAAAATAACCATAGACACATAATTTTCTTGGCAAACAATAAAACATCTATTGGTCTTAACACTAAAGACCCAACTTCCCGTCTATTCCATATTTCAAATTCATATTACTTATTGCCAATACACATTTTTTTCATAATTAAACTTATTCTCAATAAATCTAATTTCTTCTATCTACCTAGCAACTATCACTGAAGTTCCTTGAATGCTGCAACAGAATTTAAACTACTATATTTATTTTTCAGATATTCTTTGAAAACCTCCCATTTAGAAACAAATTCCTGTTTTGATTTATTCTTTATTTTTTCTGATAAACCATCTAATTCGGCATATTCTGTCAGCTTTTGGATCCAATCTTGTATAGAGGGGATTTCATTACTCTTCCATTTTGCTGCGATCAAAAATCAAGGTTTTTTGAGGTTTTGCACCTGTATTTGAATGTAAGTTATTGGCATGCACACTCATTTTTCTTTGCATCTCCTACCTCAGTAGGATTTGGAAACATCCACATCTATTTTACCAGCATTGCGGAAACAACTTATTACCTTTATCCTGATACTTCCTATGAATAAAGCTGGCCAATTTACATACACATTTGAAGGGGATGCCCATGATACCATGTACGATGCCTGTGATAATTGCAGTAGGTATGGCATCCATTTAGCATGTGCAGGAATGATGTGGTGTTAAATAATGACCCTCTCGAGTCTGATTTTTTAGTTTTTGAGAAACATAAATATGTAATTGTGCACTGACTTCAGCAAGTCTTTCCTGCTGTCTCAATGGTGTGAGAAAATGCCTCCTGGGTGATCTGCAGACTTCCAAATACATAAAACTTGCAATATGCTAGGATCCTTAATGCATAGTTTTGCATATTGAGTGGACATAGATACAGTGGTACCTCGGGTTACATACGCTTCAGGTTACAGACTCCACTAACCCAGAAATAGTACCTCGGGTTAAGAACTTTGCTTCAGGATGAGAACAGAAATCGTGCAGCAGCGGCGCAGCAGGAGGCCCCTTTAGCTAAAGTGGTGCTTCAGGTTAAGAACAGTTTCAGGTTAAGAACGGACCTCCAGAATGAATTAAGTATGTAACCAGAGGTACCACTGTACTACATTTTAATCTTTAGACATGAAAATGTGAAAGCACACCTCTGCTGGTGCGTGAGGAGAGTTGTTCTTCTGCAGACTATTTGGAAGAATAAGGAGATAGAAAGAGACTCTCTTGCCTCCATTTTATGTATAATCTAAAGCAGATGGGGAACCTGGTGGCCACAGTGTGATGGACTACAACTTCCATCAGCCCCAGCTGGCATGTCCAGTGGTCAGGGATTGTGAGAGTTGGAGTCCAATAGCATTTGGAGCAACATAGACTCTTTACCCCTGTAATACAGGAACTTGCAGCCCTGGGTCTGGTAAGTGCCTGGACAAAAAATGCTATTGTAATATATAGCACCTTCAGTTTCATAATGGAAGAAAGGCAAGATATTAATGCAACAGATGAATAATAATTTACAAGAATTTACTACGTAGTTTCTAAAAGGTCAAGCTAGCTACAAGGCCAATTCTGAATGCAAATGCTCTCTGAACCATTGCTTTACCACTATCTGCATTTATTTACACACATGCAGGATGAACACAGATGGAAACACTCAACTTAAACAGGCTGTTTCCAGTCTGCCTCACATTGCAAGCCTATTCCTCATGTCACACACAGACACCTTGATTACATTTGGTTGGGAAGGGGATATTTGCTAGCCCTTCAGAAGGCCAGATATTGAGATTCACAGCCAGCTATTTAGTTCCCATGACAACATATTACCTGCAATTTGTCTAGCAATAGATTATGCCAGGCTCGACCTGGACAACTGGCTTGACCACTTCAGCAGTCCTATTCTTCTCTAGATCTCAAACATAAAACCATACTTGGAAAGAACTTTGGAGGTCACCTAGTTCAACTCCCTGCTCACAATAATATGATCACACAAGTAGAGAGGAAACAGTAGATAGGAGGCCAAGGTCATTCAGAAAAGAATTTGCTAATAGATGGGTCTCATGGCTCAAAGTGTTTCTTCAAAGCCCTCAAAGCCTTGTTTATAAGATGCACTTGTTCGCTTAGAAAACAATTGTCCAAAATAAAACAAAGTAATCTGCTGTTACCTTACAGGTACGGTGTCACTTATATCCCTGGCTGTGCTTTCGTATGAACGCTATTGCACCATGATGGGTACAACTGAAGCTGATGCCACAAACTACAAGAAAGTATGGCTGGGAATCTTCGTGTCCTGGATGTATTCTTTATTCTGGACCTTGCCACCACTTTTTGGATGGAGTAGCTATGGACCAGAAGGACCAGGCACGACATGTTCAGTTAACTGGCATTCACGGGATGCTAACAATGTATCTTACATAATTTGCCTCTTCGTCTTTTGCCTTGTCCTTCCTTTTATCATTATTGTTTACTGCTATGGGAAGCTGCTGTGTGCCATAAAGCAGGTGAGTGAGTTTTTCAATCTTTTCGACAGAGTGTCAGTGTGTTGTGGTGCATACAATGGCAAGTCAAAGTCAGATCAAGGTACATGCAGGTCCCACTTACTGAACACAATGCTTTCCCTGGAATTCATTCATTAGATGAGCATTTGTATGAGTCCACAGTTTCCATTGATTTCTATAGGATCATTTCTCATATAGGATTTGTCCAATCTCCCTACCCCCTCTCTCCATGGTTTCTTCCTGAAATGACTGCAGCCAACTAGCAAAAGAGAGGCAAAGGAAAAACTGATTTGTGGATTTTTGTAAACGATCAGGGAATTAGCCAGACCTGTGTGTACATGGCAGAAACAACCAGGACCTTGGACAGCTCCAAAGGGGCTCCTCTGGCTGAAACATTTTCCTCCAAAGATGCTTATCTAAGTGGAGAACTAGATCCTAGTGAAGTTTGGCAAACGCAAGTCAAAATCAGATCAAAATAGGCTGGAGTGCAGTAGACTACCTCCCTGGAGGTAATGGCTGGGTGGTTAAAGGGCCCTAATCTTATTTTACAGTACAGTATTTGACTTCTGTAAGGCTGGGGAGAAAGAGGTACTGCAGGGGACTCATCCTCTGAGTCAAAGGTGGTGGCAGTTCTGTTCCCTTTAAAGGAAATGGCATTTCCAGTAGTCCGAGTCATATGAACATTTTCCTTTTGCTGAAGATGCACCATGAAAGCAATAATAATAATAATAATAATAAATTTTATTTCTATCCCTCCCTCCCCAGCCGAAGCCGGGCTCAGGGCGGCTAACAACAATAAAACAGTACAAAAGTACAGCACAAACAACACTATAAAATCATTCATTATAAAATTAATTAATTCAAGCCACTGGCAACCATTGGGCCAGAGCTCCGCGAAGATTGCCGAGGGAGGGAGTCAGGCTGTGCCCTGGCCAAAGGCCTGGTGGAACAGCTCTGTCTTGCAGGCCCTGCGGAAAGATGTCAAGTCCCGCAGGGCCCTGGTCTCTTGTGACAGAGTGTTCCACCAGATCGGAGCCACGGCCGAAAAGCCCTGGCTCTAGTTGAGGCCAGCCTAACTTCTCTGTGGCCTGGGACCTTCAAGATGTTTTTATTTGAAGACCGTAAATTTCTCTGTGGGGCATACCAGGAGAGGCGGTCCTGTAGGTACGAGGGTCCTAGGCCGTATAGGGCTTTAAAGGTTAAAACCAGCACCTTAAACCTGATCCTGTACTCCACCGGGAGCCAGTGCAGCTGGTATAGCACCGGGTGAATGTGATCTCGCAGCGAAGACCCCGTAAGGAGTCTCGCTGCAGCATTCTGCACCCGCTGGAGTTTCTGGGTCAGTCTCAAGGGCAGCCCCACGTAGAGCGAGTTACAATAATCCAGTCTGGAGGTGACCGTCGCGTGGATCACAGTGGCTAGGTCAGGGCGAGAGAGGTAAGGAGCCAACTGCTTAGCTTGGCGGAGATGGAAAAATGCCGCCTTTGTTGTAGCTGCAATCTGCGCCTCCATGGAAAGGGAGGTGTCGAAGATTACACCCAAACTCTTAACGGACGGTGCTGGCAAATGATTTATTTGAAATAAGAGTCTTTATATGGTGAGCAAACTAAAATTAAACACTAAAAGGGCAAATGTAAAGATAAGATTGAGTCAGTGTTGGAGCAAGTAAATATGTTAACATAATAATAATATCTGAAGGAGCGTCTCCACCCCCATCGTTCTGCCCGGACACTGAGGTCCAATACCGAGGGCCTTCTGGCAGTTCCCTCACTGCAAGAAGCCAAGTTACAGGGAACCAGGCAGAGGGCCTTCTCAGTAGTGGCACCTGCCCTGTGGAACGCCCCCCCCATCAGAAGTCAAAGAGAAGAACAACTACCAGACTTTTAGAAGACATCTGAAGGCAGCCCTGTTTAGGGAAGCTTTTAATGTTTAATAGGTTATTGTATTTTAATATTCTGTTGGAAGCCACACAGAGTGGATGGGAAAACCCAGCCAGATGGGCGGGGTATAAATAATAAATTATTATTATTATTATTATTATCAGTCCATTTACAAGTATTGAGACTAAGAGTCTATAAAGTAAACTTGATTAAAAAGCAATTCTCTCCCCAACCCGCCCCCCTGAACAATAATTCCACAAACAATAACCACTGTGGACAGGTCAGTAAACTTTAAAGGCAAACTATTGCCAATTTCATGGAAAAGTCATGATTTAGAATAAAGGATAGAGCAACATCAAGAAGAATAGGTGTAATGCTGTGGAAACATTTAAATTGTGTGGAAGATCACATAAAATGTGAAAATCAGCCAGAAAGGAAACATTGGGAAGATGGACTAAAGAGCTGTCCTAATGCAGCCACAATCTTCCCTCACCCCTAGTCATATTTTTTTCTACGTTAAACAGCCCTTGACTGTTTGATCAACTTCCACTTTGACTCCCCACCCTCATTTTGTTGCAAATTGAATTCATCAGAATTCATGGCCTTTTCAATTACCTTCATTTAGTACTTCTTTTTGCAAATGCCTTCTCTTATTTCATAGCAAGCCACCTTAACTTTGCTGTTGTAACCATAGTGAAATTGACTTGATCCAGTTTGGTATTTTGTTTGTTTTCAATTGGTGAAATGACACACTTCACTGAAGCCTTCAACATGAGTTTATAAATAGCCTTCATATCTCCTGACGTGATTTGCCGCTTGTATATGTGCATCTTTGCTTCCTTTTAACTTTACCATTTCATATCTGAGTAATTTCCCCCATAAAATATAAATACAATGGATCTGGATTGTCTACACAAGGTTGCCACCCACTCACATAAATATTGAATCCTTTGCAATGGTTGCTGCTGTTACAAGTGGTTTGACAAAACTTAACCCCTTACAATGGCTCTTGATGCTACTTATGAAAGTGGTGGAAATGAATTCAAGATTCTTATTGTGTGGCTCAGAGGTGGAAGGATGAGTGCAGGTGGGGGAATCTCATCATGGAAAGATGAACAACAACACATCTTCATTTGTTTTGAGATCCATGTGTAAATCCTACTTTGCAGAAGAGATTCTGGGCACTCTTCAAGTAATGGATCCTATTTGCACAGTGGAGCTCCCCCACCTTTGCTCTGCCATACACCCCTTAAAAAAGTTCTGGGGTTCCGCAATGCACCAGAGCAGATTGGGGGGGGGGCATGGGGAGGAGCAGAGGGAAAGTTATGTTGCACAAGCACAAATACTTGCACTGAAGGGACATGTTAATTGGATACTGCCCTCCCATTCCAATTTCCTTTCCCACATTCTCGTGGAGTGGGGTGGGAGGGCCGGACGAAATCACCTCCTGATTTCATCCTGCCTGCTCTGGCCTACTAGCATTCTCCGTTCCTCTATGTGCTGAACTTAGCTTCTTTCATAGCCTGGATCCAGCATTTGTTCATGACAACCACTTTATAATATCAAAAAGAGAATGGTAAAATGCTCTGCGCACAGAAAAAGGCAACAGAAATGGAGGTGCTCTTAATAATTATGTGGTGTGTGGCCCATATACTTTTTAACAAAAAGAGCTGGTAGTACTGCAGAATCGCAATAACAAGGCCATTTGGCTTGATTTGGTTCAAGACTGGAGAAAGGGTACAGGAGAATATAAGCTTTGACAGCACAATCCAAACCCAAGAGCCTACAGGTTGAGCAAGTTTACAAGAGGCTGTAACTTCCTCATCCCAGCTCAGCCAGAGATACACTAGACATAAGTCTCTCAAGCTGGCTGAGCTGGAGCTGTGATGGCTTAGCCCGTGGAACTGAAGCCTGTGGAATTTACACCATCAGGCATGGGACAGGGCAAGGAGAGACTTAGCAACATGGTGGAATTTATGCTCGAAAAAAGGATAGTCTAACTCTATTTTAAAGACTGGCTCCCTGTCATTTTCACTCATGGATTGTGAATGGTTGATGCAACTGTTTCAGGACATCAAGGTTTCTGTGATATGTCCTATACAGGTGTATCAAGACAATAGATCCTGTTTGGCTTTGTTGAACTCAGAGAATTGCAAGCAAAGAACCAAATACTTGCAGATTAAGTTACATCATGCAAGAGAGTTTATTCAGAAAGGGCTCATTCAAGTGTCCTACATGCCAGGAAATGAAATTCCTGCAGATCTGTTGTCTAAGGCTGTTAACAGAGAACAACTTAAGGTTTATGTACAGCGTTTGCAATTGGATTGAACCACAGGTACTACAGGTTACACGGAAAGGGGGAGGATGTTAGAATATAGTTCCATTCCACCTTTAGAACAGGCATGTGGAGTTGTTGTATGTCGCATGTCTGTTTACTTCCAGCACAGTCTGCTGGGAACTTTCGTTGTATATAGCTTTTGCCTATGCTTTTTGCTTGGACACGAAGGGAAGCAGACATGTTTTTCCTTTGTCCTGCTGCTGAATAAATGTTTGTAAATATGCTTACATATGCCTCTGTCCGCCACTTCCGTTGTGAAGTTATTCACTCTGCTGATTAGAGCGTGCTCGAGTTTCTGAAGGCTTCTGAAGCTGTGTGCCACTGTTTGATGCTGTTCCAAGGGAGACTGGAGTTCGCCCAGCTGCCAATTGCCCCCCATTCCCAGGTCGCATCTCAACAGCTGGGACCTGCTCAGACAACAGTAGCTCCGCTGTTGAACAGAGCTTGGAACAGGGATAACTTACACCACTTTTACGTCAACGAGCTGACATTCCAACAGCTTCTTATATTTAGGATTGCCCTACCTGGTATATTTGAGGCTCCAGTCAAAGGAAGCCCACAAGCATTCTGTCAGGGGAAGCAGCTGAAAAGCAGTGATCCATTTGTCTGATTATTGGTTTGGTGATGCTAGATTGTCTCATATCAGCCACAGGTGGGGTGGGTGGGTTATGTTTATTAATTTTGTATAAAAACATCAGTGTATGCATGTGAGCCGAAAAGGAACACACGTACAAACACACCATCTTTTACTCTCCACCCACACTACAACAAAAGCAGCTGCAAGCATGCTGTGCTCCCAGGGACTGTCTGGCAATGGCACATGAGCAAAGTCAAGTGCAAAGCAGAACAATTTTCTGCATATTTGCAGAATGAAAAATAGCTGTTTGCAGTGTGGAGGAGGCAGGCTGCAAGACACATAATGGAAAGCAGAAGATTCATGGTATGTGTGTGTGTGAGAGAGAGAGAGACTGTACTAAAGTGCATCAGCTATAGATTTTTTGAGTTACTTTCATTTTAAAGGAACACCCAATGGCTTACTATGGGGGGGGGGGAGAACCCAAAGACTAGCAACTAAATAGAATTGTAGAGTTCATACCATTGAAGGTTCTAGGGGGCCGAAAAACACCCCCCCAAGCATCACCCTCTGGAAAAGTCTGTCCAGTTATGAAACATACCAGGAACGTAGGGCTGTAGGCCAAAGGAGTTTCTGCAGATTGTTAGCAAGAAGCAAAAAACAAAACAAAGGAAAAGATAAATGCTAACAAAATATTAAAACAGATAGAATAAAGAAGCTGCTTAATTGTTAATCCTGTTCACACAGTTGTGCAATTACAGGAATGAAAATACTTGTATCAATCAATTAACCTCTCATGCATAAATTGCAAAGAGGTTTACCTCACTGCCTTCCAAATTAACAAAATCCCTCTTTGGGAACCGCGGTTTTGAAAATGAAAAATAAAAATAGATCAATTGTTTGTTAAGTGATCAGCATGCTGACAAGCTCTTGCTCTAGTTTTCCTTTTATAATTGAGGCCCTAAAAATAAACACATTTCTGCCTTATGGAGAGTTTTAGTGGTTCAACTGCTCAGGGGATTGTCCTTGGTAAATGAAGCTGAAAAGTCGCTATGTGGCTCATTTCACATGGTGAATATGAGAAACGGTAGATGGGAGCTGTGCCCTAAATGAGCCAGGGCCCATCCCCCAGGCCCTGAAAAGACACAGCTGCATTTCTGAGGTGAAGAAAAGAAAAGGAGGGATACAGGCGGAGGATGGAGGCTTCCTGATGCTGCTTCGCACAATGCAGACCTAAAAGGTATGATACATCAGGTGGGCCTAGATTCATGTTTTTTCTATTCCCTTCAGCAGGGCAACATTATCTCTGCAAGGCCCAGGGGTTTGAGGTTGTTGTTGTTTTAGCTTCTGCAAGCTTTGGGATTCATTCCATTTTGCCAGTACTTCTCTCTTGAGTGTATGGTGCCATGCTCAAAGAACTGAGTTTGCTATTTGTGTATGATGATTGAAGTAACATGACCAAATAGCAGTTGGGAGCGTGAGCAGCACTAACAGTAAAGGGGATGAATACTTCACCTCTGTTTCCATGTCTCCATTGTTAGCAGAGTTACTTGAGTAACGCAGAGAGAAAATCCTGGTAGACATTTACTAGACAAACTGAACAAAACTGTATGTAACTTAAGCAGAAAGAAATAGAGGGTTTTTTTTAGCTTTTTTGACAGGCATTGCTCAGAGCAGGAAGGCATTCAACTAAACATCTGCAAGAAAACTCCCGCACAGCTAGACAGCCTATCAGAGCATGTGCTACCTCACTAAAGATCATGCCATCTTCCGTCCCTGCTTGCTATGCAACACTGCCACCCTCTTGGCTCATTGACTTACTGACAACAGAATTATCCCTTAAGTTACACACTGAATGATCTCTGCTGTTGCACCTCCAACACCCACGCTGCAAATCTCCAGAATGCCCCACCAACTTTATACCCTGCGACTGAAGAGCCTTTTTTGTTTTTTGTTTTTTAAGGGCTGCTTCTAGTTTCTTAAGGATGCACTCAAAGATTTACTTTACTGACAACTAACAGAGCATTGGTTTGTGAAATTATGGATTTCTGAGTGCCATTCTCCCTCTGCATGTGCCGCTACACTGAGCAAGACCTATTACTTAGAGGCAAAGGCCACAGTCCTATGGGAATCACACATTAGTCACCTGTAACCTGGAGTCAGAGTGCTTTTCTCTTGCCAAATGTGTGGGAAGGATTAGAGTCTAGTTACTATTAAGGGAACAGAGAACAGAGGAAAGAGCTACACTGGCAATTTCCTATGCAGCTGACAGCAACTATTGTGCTCCAGCTACATACCTCTCATTTGCTGCCCAGGATCAGGTGCTGACATCTGTGCACAGAGCTGCCTTATCCTCTTCTTTCCTGGTTCATGAGTACCAAAAAAACACATAATAATAATAATAATAATAATAATAATAATAATAATGGAGCAGGAGGAATAGAGAGATAGATAGAAAGAGATCGTTACTGGAAAGGGTGCAGAAAAAGACAACCAAAATGGTCAGGAGACTGAAACACCCTCCCTTTGGGGAAAGTCTGATGCTTTTTAGTTCAGCAGAAAGTTGAGTAGATGGAGACGCACGTGGCGTGAAGAAAGCAGGTAAGGATACATTTTCTCTCCTCTCTCATAACAGTGGGGCCTGCTGTCATCCCCCCCAAAATAGAAGTACTGTCGTACCTTGGAAGTCGAACGGAATCCATTCCGGAAGTCCGTTTGACTTCCAAAACGTTCGGAAACCAAAGAGCGGCTTCCGATTGGCTGCAGGAGCGTCCTTATTCACACAACACATGGTTCCCTTATGGTAGTATACCCTCCAAGTGTCCTGATTTTCCAGAGACAGTCCTGGAATTATGAAAACCATCCTGGCTTCTGATTTGATCCCAGAACGACGATGAGCTGGCATTTGCCCCAAGCGAGAGCGGTGGCGGCAGTTGCGAGGTAGCATCCTGTTGCCATTGCCTCTCCATGGCAACCACTGTCAGCCTCCTCTCTTGGGCAGTTCATAGCGGCTGCTGGATCGTGGGCAAGGAGGAGGAGGAGAGGCTACTGCCACTGAAGCCCAGCTCTGAAGGCAAGGCCGTCCTGGGTGGGAAGAAAGGGGGAGCACAGCACAAGTTAAACCAACACTATCTTCTTCCATACATTTAATCTTGCATTCATAAAATGCTTTACGAAAGAAGCCTAAACTGCCTCAATTAACAGTATCCTTTGTTTATTGCAAGGCACTCCATTGAGAGCATTCATGGTTTAGTTTCGGAGCTGAATTACACACACAGTAGTGTAGTGGCAGAAAATTTCAAGAGATTAACACACAGTTGATGTCCTGCGAATATTTTGGTGCTCATGGATTCCTTTGTAGTAGGTAAAGTAGCCTTCCTGAACTTTGCATCTCAGTTTATTCTCTAAATCTGGCATTTGCATGAACATGAGAAATTACTTAAAATGCTTCAGCAACAGATATCAGGGTAGTTGTTTTAAACCAATTAACAATTAAATTTCATGAGTGTTTGCTTTACAGGGATTGGATTCACACACATGTTTTCATTAGCAATGGTTGCAGCTTTGATTTGAACAATCCGTTCTACACCTCATCCTCATTCTGCTGGCTGTTCTGCAGGCAGTGGGCTGCTCAGTGACAGGCAAATGCCAGTGGAAGGCACCTTGAGGGGTAGAATTATCCCTTTGGTGTCTTCCCTTTTGGGATGCCATTGGGGCCAAGGCATGCACCCAGATAGTGGCAGACAGATGATGGAAGTACCCTGAGGGAGAGGCAGGGAAGAGACGATCTGCCAGTGTGCAGTGGAATTCCTCTTCCTCCAAAACAATGACAGTCTGGAAGTGACCATTGTTGCCATAGAAATCTTTAGAGATGTATCTGAAGTGTATTATGGTGCTTATATTGAGCATGTGTATAGCATGTGGTGAATGTTGTGCATAAACACACAGGCATATACTCTCCTGTGGAACTGTGGAGTTTTTCTTACTATCAGAGATTTGCCCCTTCAATCCAGAAGTATTGTCAAGCATCCAGTTTGAATTGAATTTAAATTTCATTCTTAAACTGGACACTTCAGATACTTCTGGAATATTTAAAGGGGTTGTTGCTCCCAGCAATATGGGAGAGGCAGCTTTTCCTGGTACTCCAATGGCAAGAAATGGCCCCCTGTGCAGTTGGAGGAACTTCAGCTACACCCAAACAGCAATGCCTTTTTGCAGCTTGAAGTGACATGGCTGACATGAATGGAGTCATGTGGTAACCACAATATGGTTTGGCATAAAAAGTGGGACTGCTTTCACACCTCTGCACCTAAGTAGCAATGGGCATGGCCTCTATAGTGACAGTTGCAATGGCATGTACATTCAGCCGGGGCCGGCCAACTCATGAGGCGAGATGAGGTGACCACCTCAGGCAAGATCCACAAGGGCAGCAGATCCCAATGTAGATCTTTATTCTTGCATTGTTCCTGATTTCAATCCTCACTCCCTGCTTCTTCCCTGCTGGGGAGAGGGCTGCCATTTTGTGGTTCGTCTCAGGTGCCGAAATGTCTTGGGCTGACCCTGCATTCAGCATTGCTTTTTAAAACAAACAAACAAACAAACAAACAAACAAACAAACAATTTTGGGTGTGTGCACTGAAACACCCACCCACCCAGCCACCCACCCACCCACAAAAGCCAAATAGAACTCAGCTTAAGGTTCATTTTCAAAATTTTAAATGTAAATAGCTGCAACATGCTATTCTTAATTTCATTAATATTTTTAAGTCCCTTCTCTGCCTTATATACTTTCAGTTTGTTTGCTAATGAAGACACAGAGTTTTGGTCATAATTGTCTTGCTTTGCCTCAGCTGAATTTAACTTCTGTATTGTCAAAGGTTTGGACACAGAGGCTTGAATTTTAAGTTGGTCAATTTTTGCTAACTGTCCCCTCCATTAACATTGCCTCCTGTACCCTGTCCCAAATCCCTCAGAGGAAAAGGGGAGCAGGAAATGCCTTTTCCATGGATGGAACTTTGTTCTGCCACTGATGGGAAGCTGGGATCCAAACCAAGAACTCCACTATGCTGCACACTTTTCAAAGCATAAACTTGGAGGAAACAAATCTTCCTCTCCATCTGAAACTCCAATATCTTTTCTGCATCCAATCTCATCTGAAACATTAATTGACTGATTTAAAAGACATAATCCTAGACTGGAACAATTTATCTATAAGCAGCAATTTGTCTTGCTTGACAAGATTGTTGGCTGCTTATAAATACAGAGATTGTGTCTATTTTTTCAGACGCGAACAGCTCATTTTATCTTTATTTCACTTTAGTTGCAAACTTTAGGACTCTGTCATCCAGTGGTCTGATGCAGAATAATTTCCTGCAAGCGACTCCCTGGGAATACTAGATCAGACTAGATTACATTCATGCTATAATATATACTCTCTAAAATGTTCAGAGAGAAGTAAATTGGTTTCATATACTTTCAGATAGAAAGCTCATATTTTAAACTGTCCATTGGGTTATTGCTTTGCTTTGAGGAAAAGGCTGGAATGCAAATAAATAAATAAATAAATAAATAAATAAATAAATAAATTCATTCTATTGTTCGTACCCCCCATCTTTTTTTTATTTAAGATATTTATTGAAATTTTCAAAGTGTTACCAAATAAAATAAAAGCAGTAGAAAATACAAAATAAGAATAATTAACAAAGTAGAAAAAGAAATAAAAACAAACCCCTTCCAACCGTATGGATACAAATTCAAAAATAAGAAAAAGTGACAAAAAATAAAAAAAATAAAAAAGAAGAAAATATAGAAATACATCACACACAATTAAAAAACATTTAAAAACAAATTCATTATTCTCAAATCCTCAACTGTCATTACCTTCTTTCTTTGACCTCCTCCTCCTCCCTTTCTTTGTATCCTAGTTATTAATTATCCCAGCAAATCCTTTCCATATTTCATAATATTCTGTCATTACATTACCCTAAACTATTTTAATCTTATCTTTCTATAATAAAATAAACCTTAAAGCTTGAAACTTAAATCTTATCCTTACCAACTTCTCATAACCATAATATTCTTTCATAATTCTTTAAACATCTTTACTAAAGCCAAGTAATTTCATTCCAACATTTTTCTAACATTCATCAATTTTATAAAACAGTTCTAATGGTAGAAAAAAGAAATACAAACAAATCCAATCTTCATCCAACGTCCCTTCCTCCTGGTTCCGGGTTTTGTCAGTCCTTATTATCCCGTCGATCTAGCCCATTAACCTGGCAGCCTTATATCCGAGGCCCTCAAGTCTCTTCCATGTCCCTTCCGCAGCTCTTCTTCATATTTGTAACTGTGTTTTCCCTTGTCTCCTGCTCGTGGTAACTCCAGCTTGGCAATATTTTTAACCCTTCTCGACAGGTCAGCCCCTTTTCCATATTCAACACTAAATTCCATATGGTATTTAAAAGCATGTTTCAAAGACCCTCCAAAATTAAGAGCCCCCACAATCCCAAACATCTCACGGCCCATTGCCAGATTTGAAAAGTCCAAACATCCCAGCATAGGGGGGTCAATCCAGCCCCCATTTCCAAGCCAAACCAAACTTTTCCTTTCCAAATCTGGTTTTTCCAAGTTCATTTGTCAAATCCGAAAACTCATATTCCTGTTGGGCCTGTTCTGTCAGGACACACTCCTGATTTAATTCCTGAGTGGGCTCCACATATTTTCCCACTGTCTGTTCAAAATTTCCCACTGCCTGTTCAAAATTTCTAGTCGAAGTCGCCATCCAATTCACCTTTTCATGTAATTGTTCCAGTAGGGCATTTGTTTTATAGAAAGCACACAACAAAGCTTCTGAATACATTGTCCTGCAAGGTCAAATGCCTGTTCCCAGGATTGTTATCTGTAACAGCTGCCGGCTCCCTGGAGTTGGTTACAGTTACACAGTCTCCCTCTAGGGGGAAAACTTCTATTTGTTCTTGCAACAAAGTTTCCCTTTTTGAGATACTTTGTCAATATTTGTTGCTTAAAGATGCGAAGGGAAGCAGTGGAATCGCTATGTTTCTCTTCTTTTAGCTATCTGTCAAAAACGCTTGTCTCTGGTCAATGAACTTCAAACGTCAGTCCTGACACCCCGCTCCAGGATCAGGACGGAGGAAAGTTACTTTACTTTAAACTCACTTTAAACAGTCCGGAAAAGATCCCCCCTGCTCCCGCTGTCGAAGGGGGGTCCACAATTTTAAATGATGAAATCCAATCCTTTAAAGGCGATTTTCTAAGCTCTAGTTTACGTTGTCTTTGCTTTATTCTGTCTACAGAAGAACGGAAGGCTGACTTCCTGTTTAAACCTTCCTGTTCCGTACCAAATTTAAATAGGTTTTTAAAATCCAATTCCTTTCTGCTCGCAAGTCCTTATCTAATGTCCAGTTGTTCAAAGTCTAAGTACTCACGGGTGCTTATTTTAGAGTCCGAATTGTCCCAGGAAAAAGGCAGCACTGTGCGGCTTCGCTCCACGGAAATAGCAGTTGACTCACAGCACCGCGCCACTTCCCCCTCTTCACTTCGGAGCCCGTTGGTGGGTTCCTTAGCGAGTTGGGGGGGCGCTAAAGGTGCCCGCCGAGTCCCATGGTCACAGGCTTCATCCGCCTGTGATTTTTAAAAGGGTCCCCGCTTCGCCGTAGCGGAAAAGACCCGTTTCCCGCGGAGCTAGTCCCTCCTGTTCAGAGGGAGTCCGCCATTGCCGATGGCGCCACCCTGGAAGTCCGTACCCCCCCCCATCTGACTGGCTTGCCCCATCCACTTTGAGCAGCTTCCAAACATATATAAAAGCATAATAAAACATTAAAGCTTCCCTATACAGGGCTGCCTTCGGACGTCTGTTAAAGGTTATGTAATTACTCATCTCCTTGACATCTTCTGGAAGGGTGTTCCATAGGGAAGGTGCCACTACTGAGAAGGCGCTCAGCCTGGTTTCCTGTAACTTTACTTCTCACAGTGAGGGAACTGCCAGAAGGCCCTCAGAGGAGGAACTCAGTGTTCAGGCTGAACAATGGGGGTGGGTGGAGAGGAGACAATCTTTGAGGTATACTGAGCCGAGGCCATATAGGGCTTTAAAGGTCAGAACCAACACTTTGAACTGTGTTTGGAAACGTACTGGGAGCCAATGTAGGTCTTTCAGGACCAGTCTTATATGGTTCTGGCAGCCACGCCTAGTCACCAGTCTAACTGCTGCATTCTGGATTAGTTGTAGTTTCTGAGTCACCTTCAAAGGTAGCCCCATGTAGGGCACATTGCAGTAATCCAAGTGGGAGATAACCAGAGCATGCACCACTCTGGTGAGACAGGCTGGATCTAGACACATCAAAGAAACGTTTCAGTTAAATGCGTTGCAAACTTTGTATGAGAAATCGGGTTAGCAAAAATGGAACTCTACAGCTCCATCTGGTGTCACAGTGTTAGAATGCATAAACAACACCAAATGCACCTTTTCTTTGCCAATGTAGCTGAGTCCACAGTGTGCGGGCTGGTAGGGTCTCAGCCGATGTACCAGATAGAGCTGGTAGACTTTAAATGCATACTTTAAAACTGGGCAGAATTTTTTTCCCCTTTCAGCAATCATATTAATTCAAATTCTTTTAAAGTTGAATAACCTCACATTCTATAAAAAGCCACAAAATCGGTTCCCCTTAATCCCCATTGCAGACGACATCCAGCTTTAATTACACTGCAGGGAGCACATTATGTCAACGGAGGCAGGACTTGGTATATTGTGTCCGATGTGGCGAAAGAAAAGGTGAAACTGGCAGGGTGCACCCAGTGCCTGCATTCTTTGCTTTCTGCATACTGTTTCCGACGCCTTCAAATCCCTTTCTATTTTTACCTTATAATATTTCACTAATCTGCTGCCTAGGGAAGGATGAAACTACAGCTAATAGATGGGAAGTGACAGACACACACAATGTATTCAGTGATGAAGGGACCCTGGGTCAACCTGGATGGGCCCAGGTAGGATGAGAGGATGATCAGCATTAATCTGGTGGCATCATTCCTAGAAGCTCAAACAACAGGCAGCAACATGACTTCTACCTGGCAATTTATAGCACTATGATGCAGCTGTCAGGAAGGAAACAGGAGCCCTCAAACTACACCTACAAGAACAGAGCCTTACTAAATTGTAGCCTAATGGATACTAAGAAAAAACAAACCGTTCAAAATATATAATGTTTGCACACAAATATTCACACATCCTGGGCACGTCTGCACCTGGCAGTTGGTGATGGGAACAATTCACCATTGATCCAGGACACCAGACCCAGGAATAATTTGAGGATGTGTCTATGCAACCTTACTCCTCTTCAGGCATTACAATACACTGTTCACAGAATATGTGGATTTTTGGGGGGAAAGTGGTGTGCGATCAGTGCCCCAGCTCTGCCCTCTACTGTTATTGTTTCTGTCACCCTCAGCTTATGGAAAATGATGTGCGAAGTGCAGATCTTCCTGTATCTGCAGAGGTTTCCTACACATTTTGGAATCTGCTCCACAGTCAGGGCTGTCTTAACCCTGGGGTGCAAGGGGTGTGGGGCACCCGGGCGTCAAATTCTGGGGGGTGCCAGGCACCCGCCACTGAAGCCGCCTAAGCTCTTAACTATCTACCTGTTATGAAATAATAAATAATTTTGATCAAGCTAGAAAAACAATATATATATATATACCTAGGTATTACCAAAATGTATACCTACTGTTTCACTAAAGGACTTTTGACTTGGTGCACTCATTTACCAAAGACGCGCCATGCCAGCGACGGCGCTTGTCATTCACAATGGCGGTGCTTGTCAGACTCAACGACGGCACTTGTCATTCTCAATGGTGCCATGCACGCGAAATCAACTAAATTTGGGGTTGCTGGGCAGATATTTGCACCCCGGCGGTGCATATGAGAAGACGGCCCTTTCCACAGTCATCCTCTAAACTGAGAGTGATGGAAATGACAACTGGGAGGGGGGTGCACTGCACAAAAATCTAGCACACTTCCCCACACTGGCCCCTCTCATATTTTGTGAAAGTAATGGTCACATTCCCACCATACATTTAAAGCGCTAGGATACGCCTTTGAACAGTCATGGCTTTCCCCAAATAATTCTGGGAGCTGTCATCTGTTCAGAACTCTAAGAATTATAGCTTGCGGGGGGAGGGGGAGCAGTGGACCTCCTAACAACTCTCAACGCCTTTAACTGCAGCTCCCAGAATTCTTTGGTAGAAGCCACTACTGTTTAAAATGTATCATAGCACTTTAAATGTCTGGTGGGAATGTGGCTCATGTCTGAAGAGGGTATTGGAGTCATTAAAAAATCTGTTTTTATAGGTATGAATTGCCTCGGGGGGGGGGGATATATTAGGTGGGATTGCTGATCGCTTGGCCCTAAAAATGCTTCAAGAAGAAGTTGCTTCTGACTGGCAAGGTCTGAGAAAATAGAATGTGCTCTTCCAAGAAGATCTTCTTGAGAAGGTGCCCTCCCCCTTTTGATTTAATTTGTTGGGTGATATTTTGACAAGACCAATTTCAGCATGTTCCTCTGCTTCATTGTAAATACCAACATTTATTAATGTTCTTTTCAAGGTGCTATTTTTCTTAACTAAGCAATTTAGCCTTTGTCTGGTGTGATAGACTATCTAGAGAATTATTTCAAAAGTAAATAAGAATGCTATGTGCAGATAAATGGAAATTATACTTAATGGGAATCTTTTTCTAGCACGATGCTTATGAAATGACAAATTAAGCCTATTTGTTCTCTGATACTCTGAATAGAATAAATTCAATCCAACAAGCAGAAATAGCTAGATTAATCACCCAATTTTAGCCCATTTTAGCTCATCTAATTTTATTTCCATTTTTAAATAGTCAGTGCATACTTGCTAAAGATTTATCCAGGGGAATTCTCATAATATTGCCACTCTTTCTCCTAGGAACTTGATTGCTAATGAACCTTTAACACGGAAATGGCTCCTGGGATGCCGCTTATTAAGCACTCACAAATAAATATAATATTGTTGCAGAAAGTAGTAAGGAGGAAATGATTTTAGGATTGTGAGGTCATCTTCCAGGATGATGTGTTTAGGTGCCCTTTCCATTGAAAGCCTCATGTTTCATGAAACCAATCAACTCATTTAAAAGTTGATCCCAAGACATCTTGATGCCTAAGGCAAAGCACCAGGTGACATCTCTTCCCCATTTCACAGACAGAAGCCAATAGGACCAGCAGCTGAATCTGATTTCAACACTGGTGAAAGGTAGTATCTTCTTCTCCACCTGAGGCATCAGGCTAGTTTAGAGGCCTCAAACCATGTGGCACAGACAGCTCTATCCTCCAACAGAGCGGGGAGGGAATGGTCCAGGGGCTCAGGAATAACTGCCCTGGGGTGGGGAAGCCACTGTAGCACCATCTCCAGCATTTGCCATCTGAGGCTGTTGTGACATTCTGTCTAATGGTAGGGCCAGGGCTGGTTGAACCCATTCTTCAGGTAATCAAGGTATACAGGCTCGAAAGCTCTCAAAGCTTCTCCCCACTCCCCATCTTTGAAAATGAATACATTCATACCTTGGTTTGCGAACAGCTTAGTTGCCGAACAAATCGACTCCCGAATGCTGAAAACCTGGAAGTAAGTGTTCTAGTTTTCAAATGTTTTTTGGAAGCCGAATGTCTGACACGGCTTCCGCTTGAGTGCAGGAAGCTCCTGCAGCCAATTGGAAGTCGTGCCTTGGTTTTCAAATGGTTTCGGGAGTCGAACGGACTCCTGGAATGAATTAAGTTAAAGAACGAAGATACTACTGGAGCACCACTTCCACTCGCAAAATTGCAGTGTTGCCACACTGTACAGCTACACTGTTTTAGGGTGGGGGAAAGGTTTCATATGTGGCCTTTTGGAGATAATGGAATTGTCTTCCTGCTTTCGCAGATCTGAGGAGGGTAAGAGAAGGTGTAAGAGAGTAAAAGTTTTTCGATCAAATGTGGCGCTGTGTGGGTGATAAAGGCTGTCAGCAGCAATTTGACAGAGGTATTCTGTACAGGAAGGAACTTCAAGTGGTCTTTTCAACGAACGGCCTTGTCTTTTCAACGTCTTAACTGCCAGAGTGGACCTGAGATAGTGGCAGTAGCCTACTAACCCCTGTACCATGTTGGAATTTGGATATCCTGAGACATAGGCTAGGGTGTTTGCTTGCTGCGTGAGATTTAGCAGCAGGCTTGGGGAAACCATGTTTGAAGAAATAGCATTTTTATTTTTGAAATAAAACAAACCAACAAGGACCTCACACCCTCAGTGGATATGGATGTGGACAAATTGTTGGGGTGGGGGACAGAATATGGAGGGATGGGTAGAGATGGGATGGAATATCCTGGTAAAGGGTATGGCTGACTGGTTGGCATCCTGACCAGGAACACATTTTGTTGCAGTTCCCACTTGTTGAAGGTCAAATATTCCATGACAAGCCAAAGACTATTCATCATGTAAATTCATATTTCCAAAAAGGTATAACTGGACAATCATTTAGGCAGAACAGGACAGCACAGATGATTCAAGACTGCATTTGTAACTTGATGCTTTAGCTTTTCTAGCCGATCATTTTTTTAAACACATTCAGTACATGGCTATTAATAATAATTGGTTGCATACACAAAGAGCTGTGCTTTGTAGCCTTGATCTTATTCACATAGCACTCTGAGGAATGCTGCTGTTATCAGTGTTGTCTAAACTTATTAACTAATGCTATAAAAGGTGCACTGTCACACTGTGTGAATGAGCCAGCGATGTCTCAAACCACAGGTTAATAATAGATTCACTTCAAATCTAAAATCCAACAGGTTCATTAAAATCTTTCTTTAAAGAGGTGTGCTTGAGAACATTTTGCTGCTCTTCAAATTTGATATTTATTGACATTTTGAGATAGCATTGTGCAACACAAAAGCAATTTAAGGCAGTCTAAGATACCTAATGATTTGAGAATGGCAGGATTCTTCTGCGTTAACTTTTACAAACAGCACCACAATAAGCAAGGTCTCAATAAGCAAATGGCTGCAACACACAACACCTGGAAGAAAAATCAGTACCCTATTCCCCTCCCCCATTTATTCAGTCATTTCTAAATGAAAACATTATTTTCTTCTTTGGGGAGATTATTTTTTATTGTGTTCTGACAAAACAATTTGCTTTAGCAAGTGAGTGTGTGTTGGGGCAGCAGAAAGAGGTGTGGGAACAATTAACAATTGACATTTAAGGAGTCAGTATGGTGTAGTGTAGAGGTTAGAGTGTTGGACTAGGACCTGGGAGACCAGGGTTCAAAGCCCACTGGGCAACCTTGGGCCTCATCTACCTCACAGACTAGTTGTGAGGATAACAAGAGGAATGGGAAAACCACATTTGCCACCATGAGCTCCTTAGATGAATGGTAGCATATTAATGCAATAAAATAAATAAAAAATATTCACTGCACCAGGAGCAAAATAACATGGTGGCAATGTAACTTATGAAATCATTTATGTAAGTTATGTAATTTTGCCACTGAAGACAGCAAGGTGAATAATATAGATTTTGGTGGAAGATGTACTTTTTAGGAACTGAGTCAGAGATAGGACAGCTGTCAAGTGTCCCTTATTTGAAGAGACAGTCCCTTATTCCAGCACCATGTCCCGCTGCTGTCCCTTATTGATGGATGTCCCTTAAATGTCCCTTAAATTATGTCCCTTAAATTTCAAAGGAAGCAGCTCCTCTCCCTCCCTCCCTGCTGGACAGGGAGGAGGGAGGCTCCAACTGTGTTGCTTGGCTGTGTTGCTCACCCAATAAGAAGTCTAAGAACGATTGGGGGGTGGAGCTTGCATGGCTTGTGTTGTGGCTAGTTAATGCAAGCTGACAGGGGTTTTGAATGCTGGATGCCATTTTGTTGCACGTGCTGTTGCAAACTTTGCAGTGCAAAGCCAGGCCAGGGAGCCATCTTAAGTTGAGGCTGCATAGGCCTTGTGGTGCATGTGATTCAGATTCTATTCAGTTGAACCTCTGATTACAAAGTTGGTTGGACAGTGTTCTCGAAGCTACCCAGCATGAGTTTGACCAGACTGCAGGAGGACAGGAAGACTGGAGTGCCTGGAACAGGTGAGGCTGCAGGTTCCTTATTTTGGCTGCTGGTCCCTTATTTTCAAGGCTGCTGGTCCCTTATTTTCAAATCTGTAAGTTGACAGCTATGGTCAGTGAAGTTAACTCTTTTGCGCAGGCCTAGTGATCACAACAACCATTCTCAGTAGGTCTTGCCCCAGTGAAGCAGTTGTGAGGACTGAAGGTCCCTGCCTTCCCACCACTCTCTAAGGCTCTTCCCCTAGTTCCTTCCCCAGCAACCAGAGACTCCTTTGCCGTGTCTCTCTTTGCTCTGCCTTTTTCATTTCTCTGTGTATTCTGGGAGACCAGCAGGGAGGGAAGATGGTTGCAGCAGGAGGGGGAGACTCCCTGGATTCTTCAGCAGCCTGCCTCATCTCTGTCTCCTGGCCTTGTCCTCTTCTGTCTCTGTGTCTGGACTGCTCTCTGCCCCAGCCTCTTCCTGCTCACTAAACCCTGTTGCCTCTTCCTCTTCTGACACCTCACCCCCTAGTCTGCTCCTTCTTCTCCCTCTGACCACTCACCATCGTTCCACCACCAGTCCCCTGGCTCTAAGCCTTCTTCCCCTGGGGGTTCCCTTGGGGGTTCCCCAGCATCCAACCAGGCCATGACATACAGCAACAGAATGGAATATGGGGTGGAAAGGACAACCCACCCCTGCTTCCAACTATAATTCTTTGATAGATGCTCCATGGGGCCACCTCCTTCCAAATGAACTTTATTACAGTTTACTAGAGAAAAGTACTGCAGAGTCCATCCCCCCCTCTCTTTCATGCACACATGCTCTTACAGGGGATCTGTTTTGTGTATCTCAAGCTCTCTGCAAATGGAAATTCCACGCACAAGCAGGTGGGCTCTGGATTAATTACCATCTGCTTCTTTTTTCCATGTTGCTACTTAGTGCATCTGTTGGCTGCCTGGGAGAAATAATGTGGATTTGGGATTGATTAAATTGCTGCAGAACAACATGAACTTCTCGATTCCTCCCAGATGTCACTACTAGTTAACATGATCATGGGTGTCATAGAGTTTCCCACCACCACAGGTGAAATTTCTTCACCTGAAAGTAAATTGCATCTTTTCCCCCAATTAATGTAATTAAAATAGTTCATCATTTTCCTGTCATCTGTTCGCCTGGTGGTGAAATTGTCCCTTTACTGCTCTGTGTTTCAGAGTTCTGAAGCATGACTATTTGCCCTCGTGCTGCTTTTACAGCAGCTCTGAGGGTGGAGGCAATTTTCTCTCATCTATCTGATGTTTGAGTTAAGTAGGGCATAAGTACAAACACAGAAAAGGTGATTTGTTAAGAAGGGGAAGTGCTGAATCATTAGCATTGCCATTTCCCCCTGATGGAAAGTCAATATGGCTAAATGAGATCCTTGGAAAGAAAACACTTTCAACAAGTCTCATTGTCCTCAAAATCTACAGGGGGTATTGTTTTTTAAGAAATAGATGCATATGGCTAAATTCAGTCAGATATGGGGAATCTGTGGCTCTGAGTCTCAGGGAACATGGCCAGACTTCTGCCTTCTCTATTCCTCCCTGCAGCCTGCCACCCACCCATCAAATTTGCTTCAGATGCTTGTGGGATCCTCTAGAGCTGTGAAGGGGGAAGAGAGGAAAGGGGAATCTGCTCACACGATATCACCCCATGTGAATATAGTTGTATTTTCAATTAGGAGCAATAGCTTCATATGACAAGGCTGGTTGGTTTACAATCTACACATTACATGCATGCATACATACATACATACATACATACATAAAAAGGTAAAGGTACCCCTGACAGTTAAGTCCAGTTGCGAATGACTCTGGGGTTGTGACGCTCATCTTGCTTTACAGGCCGAGGGAGCCGGCGTTTGTCCGCTTCCGCAGACAGTTTTTCCAGGTCATGTGGCCAGCATGACTAAGCCGCTTCTGGCGAAGCCAGAGCAGTGCACGGAAACGCCGTTTACCTTCCCGCTGGAGCGGTACCTGTTTATCTACTTGCACTGCGTGCTTTCAAACTGCTAGGTTGGCAGGAGCAGGGACTGAACAACGGGAGCTCACCCAGTCGTGGGGCCTTGAACCACCGACTTTCCGATCGGCAAGTCCAAGCGGCGCAGTGGTTTAAACAATGTAATTCAACCATTTCCACATAAATCATAGTAATTTATAAAATAAAGATACAATAATAATAATATCATTAACAGCAGCACCACCTCCAACTTCTATAAAAATATACCCCAGGCCAAGAGTCTATTCAGCAGCCTCAGCTTTTGTAGCTGGTGTCAGTTAGTCAGCGCCCCACCCTGCCAGGCCAGGTGGAAAAAGGCCTGTAAGGCAAGGAGCAGGTCTTGCAGGATTCACAGCCAAGGTGGTCATTAAGATGGGGATTTTGGATGGATGGTTCAGAATGAGTGAAATTCTGCATTGTATGCTTGTAATGACATTGGCTTCTCAACTGAGAACCAAGCACCGTCCCATAACACATAGCAGCAGAGGGATGTTAAGTTCACTGATGTCTTACAGCCCGATGTTGTTGAACTAAAACTGACCACTAGGTATGCTGATGGCGGCTGATGGTTGTCGGAGTCTAACAACATCTAGAGGGTCACAGCTTCCTCATCCTTGTTCTATATCCTTGTTCAAGCAGGAGGCTCCCTGTTTAAACAAAGACCCAGATTCATGCAAACATATAGTACATGGTGGCCCCTGGAAAAATCTCCATGGCTCCACTTGGTGAGAAGCCAATATGTTGAAATTGGCAAGATTATTTTGACACTCTGTCACTACCAGATGCCAGCATACCAGACACTAAAAATAATTGCCCAACAAAGCACATATCACCTAAACTGCCCATTTTAGTGGAAGCTCATTTCAACCATCATGGGAGGATAAATGTTTGAATTCATATGGCTTTATTTGTTAAGACACCAAAGAGAAGGGATATCTAATATAGGATCCTATCTGGAAAAAAGTGCATATCTATGCAAAAACACTTATATTAGCAGTTTTAATGAATTTTCCTTGCAAACATCTTTTTAGTGGTTTTGAATGGTATAATAAATGTGTAATAATTTCTTGCTATATGATCCAATCTTTATTCCCTTTAGCATCTTTGTGGTGAAGGTTTTTTTTTAAAAAAAGAGCTAAGTTTTTATTGCCTTCTATAGCCAATACCTATTATTTTAAACCATTTAAACCACCATTTGTACTAACAACAAAGAGCTAAGAGGCATATGCTTTATTTTATGACATTAATAACACCTCCCTTTGTCAGGAACCTAATGGGATTGAGATTTAATAACAGTGATAAATGTGAACTGACATTCTGGAGTTTATAAGGAAAACATTCTACCAGGGTGTTAAAACGTTCAGTAACTGGAAATGCCTCTTTGATAGCTAATGAATATTTGAGCAGAAATGAACCCATTGAAGGTCCCAGAGTTTCTCTGAAAATATTGTCTTCTTTTCTTAATGGGGTTGCCTTGGGAGAATATCTTCATACTTCAAAATCCAACTTGCTAGAAAACATTGACTGCTTTTTCTTTTTGGCTTTGGAGAGTAGTTAGATGCTCAATATGAGTTTTTGATCAAAGATAGTTGATAGTGTGTTTATGTGTTTTATTAATAAAACAAGGTTTTGCATTAAGTAAATCTGTGGAAGAAAACTCCTGTTCTCCAGACATCTTGAAGTCTACTCAGCTGTTGGCATTTGTCTGTCTTGAGAGATGATGGAAGAGTGTGCTATCAGGGGTAAAGTCAAACTACAGCCGAGTTACAGCGCCTCCTGTGGCTGTATAGACCAATATGGGAGAGACATGTTTTATTGCAGCTGGGGCAAATGAAGGCATCTGGTTTCGAAGGTGCATATGCACCATGCCATTTCTTCTCTCTGTACTCCTCCCAATGGTCATTTCATGACAGCTACCCAGCTGGCATGAGGCCAATTCAGATAACCAATCTGGCATGTGGGTTCACAATTAAACACACATTTACCACAATTAATCATTTGGAAACAAGTCCCAAATTTTAACATCTGTCGTGCTAAAGGACTAAAAAAAAGAAAAAAAATGATACGACTCAGGCAATAAAAAACAGAACCAGAATTTGTTTACTCTTTGCATATGTTATGAAATTGCTTCTTTCATATGCTTCGGAGCCCTCAGGGAAATTCTCGATCTCTTCTCCTTAATCAGAGGCTGAGCACTGAAGCAAAAACGCATTCTCCCATTCCTATCCTATATATGTTAGCTGGGGCACAATATTTATACACAGACCAAAAGTTCTTATTTTATTATATCACCCATGCTAATCCTATTAGCCCTGGCTCCACCTATCAATGGCTGTAGCTGAACCTACTCTTGGCCTTCCACTCAATGGGCACCAGCCACCACTGATAGCAGCAGCAGCAGCAGCAGCAATAATAATAATAATTTTACTGTTTATACCCCATCCATCTGGCTGGGTTTCCCTGGCTAGTATTCAAAGCTAGCCAAATAATTATAGGCCCAGAGGCAGAAAATTCCAGACATGCTCCTCCCTGGCAGTAACATACTGTAATAATAAATAAACAACAGAAAGGGCAGCAAATTGCTAATGCTCAAAATTCACTGCCCGTGGCAGGCATCTCACGCTACCAAATGGTTGTTGTTGTTGTTTAGTCGTTTAGTCGTGTCCGACTCTTCGTGACCCCATGGATCAGAACACGCCAGGCACTCCTGTCCTCCACTGCCTCTCGCAGTTTGGTCAGACTCATGTTTGTAGCTTCGAGAACACTGTCCAACCATCTTGTCCTCTGTCGTCCCCTTCTCCTTGTGCCCTCCATCTTTCCCAACATCAGGGTCTTTTCCAGGGAGTCTTCTCTTCTCATGAGGTGGTGGGCAAAGCCAAAGTTGAGTTTACTTTACCTGTGTGCTACTTTTGGTTTTTAAAAAACAGACTGCTTTCACCCTCCTGCTTTAGAAGTGATTGCAGCTGGCCCAGTTTTGTTTTATTTTTTTAAAAAGCAGAATTGCCGTTGTCATGTTTAGTTTGTTCCTCAGCCGCTTTGAAATGTTTTGTTATTCAAAGTTAGTAATTGGAAGGGGAAGTACACCCTAAATTACAGGCTAACGAACCTTTTTAGGCTTTGTCAAACTTATACTTACTGAAAGTTGAAAAAGGCAAATGTACACTAGACTAATTAGAAATGCTGCCTTTCTACTGGGACAGGAGACCTTGTGCCCTTGTCAAATCAGAACTATTCACCCCATATTATAAATTTCTCATAGTATCTTGAAATGGGGGCAAGAGTTACAGCTAATTATGTTTATGACAGACTTGTATTCAACATGTAGGGTTTTGTTTTTTCCCTCCTCTTGAAAAATATCATTGCGGCAACGCGATGCAAAATTAAGATACTTGATAGAAACAGCTAATTAGACCAAATAAAGACTTCCTTGGTCTTTTATTTGGTTGTTTGTATTGTTGTATGTTATGCTCATTGTATGTTATGTTCATGTTTAATGAGGGTGGATTTCTGTATGGGGGGGTTATGTTATGTTGTAAATAAAATTTCCAATAATAATTTATAAAAATCAAGGAACAGCTAATTAGTTAGTGGGTTATTACTGTATTGGCCCGGATATAAGCCACACCCGAATATAAGCCGCACCTTTAAAATTCAAGGGGGAAAAAGAAAAAAAGACAATACCCGAATATAAGCAGTTCCCTTAAAATTCTACAGGCACTCACACCCGTTCTGTTTTACTGTATAGCTGTTTCAGCGGCAATATCGTAAAAGCCAGTTTTTGTAAGGTTGTAAATTTAAGCCACACTTTAACTTTTCACAGTCAGAATTTGGGGGAAAAAACTGTGGCTTATATCTGGGCCAATATGGTAGCTGTAGCTTGGTGCCCCTTAAACACTTGTCTGTCCCATTCCAGTCTGAGGAGTGATAACATCAGAACCTGTAGGTGGGATTCAGTAGAAGGTGTGAGAATGTTTTCATATACCACTATGCTTTCAAGAAGCAAGAGTGAGAGTGATATGGATTGATTTCCCAAATGCATGCTTTGGGATTGTGGGTCCCATTTCCCGATTCCCCATTAAACAGGTCAGAGGCAGCTGAAATTTCTGGTGAAAGCTTATCTTTGTCTGACAACAGACAGATGAAAACCTATAATCATGCTTATCATTCTTTACTATTACCTGACACTTTTGTGCTGCTTCCTTGCAGTATTATAAGCTTTAATGATAATTACAAATACCTTGGCTTGAACAAGATGTAGAAACTTTAGTGTCAAGGAAGAAAAAGAAAGAGGGAGACATAGAGATGGGAAGGCCTAGAAAACCCCCCAAATTTTTGGGAAAAACCCAGGTTTTTTTCCATTTCCCCTCAAAACTATTTGTGTGTGTGTGTTCTAAAAAATTGGGGAAAAACACACCATAGTTTGATATAATTTGAATATTCCACATACCTTTTTTTCTTTAAAAAACCCCACCTGGCTTTGGAAAAACCTGGAAGAAACCCTGCCCCACCCCAATTTTTCCGTCCCCCCCTGGCCTTCCCATCTCTAGGTGTGCTGGTGTGCCTTGCAGTGTGGTCCAGAGTGCTGCATTATGCTGCCAAAATATTCCTGGACCCTTCCAGTTGTTTTGTCATTAAAAACGAAAACCGCAGGAACCAACTTTCTACAGATCAATTCTGGTAGAGTTTGTTGCTTTGTCCCTGGAATCAATTGACTGAGGAAAATGCAGAAGGGACATGGCTACCTCTGGCTGCAGATTACCAACTTGATTCCAGCGCCAATAAATGGAAACATACCCTCCAACATTTCTCCAATGAAAATAGGGACGTCCCATTCCATCATGATAATTTTACTATTTATACCCCACAAATCTTACTGGGTTGCCCCAGCGACTCTGGGAAGCTTCCAACATCTATAAAAACACAATAAAACATTAAACATTTTTTTTTAAAAAAACCTTCCCTATACAGTGGTACCTTGGTTTAAGAACAATTAGTTTATGAACAACTTGGATTAAGAACGCTGCAAACCCGAAAGTAGGTGTTTTGGTTTGTGAACTTTGCCTTGGAACATGTTCCGCTTCCTGTTCAGTGTGTTCCATTTGTAAACTGAGTCCCTCACTGCTGTGGGAAAGCGCACCTTGGTTTAAGAATGCTTTGGTTTAAGAACCGACTTCCGGAACGGATTAGGTTCGTAAACCAAGGTACCACTGTACAGGATTCCCTTCAGACGGCTCAGGAGTCGAATAACTCCATACCCTCCAACATTTCTCCAATGAAAGTAGGGATGACCTAAGGAAAAGTGGGACATTCTGGGATCAAATCAGAAACCAGGATGGCTTCTCTAAATCAGGGACACCCCTGGAAAATAGGGACACTTGGAGGGTCTGTGGAAATACTCCATTAATAGCTTCCAGTTTGCACATAGCTAAGATTAGATTTCAGTTTGGAGCATCAGGACAACCACAGAATGATAGGAATTAATTCATATTGGCTGCCAGTCTAGCTTCTACTTGAGATAAAGACTACAGTGAGGAAAAACCAGAGGAGCTCCTTCCTTGAGCCATCCTTCCTATTTGAAGAAGAGGTGCCATTGACACTGAACAGGCTGAATATGTTCCCACCTCTCACATCCAACAGGAGGTGGGCAGTAGCATTCTATGTAATGCCTCAAGAGTTCTAAAATCAGGCTGAGGAAGGGCAGATGGGCAAAATTACACACATGTATTTTGGTTAAGATCTTCAATGAGTAACAATGTTAACTACCAATAGGACTAAACAGATTAAGGGTGGGAGGGGCAGAGAGGGACTTCCATGTTGCCCTGAGCTCCTTGGAGGAATGAACGGATATCCAAAAACAAAGCTCTTCAGAAATTGATAGTAGATGATCTAACAGCAAGCATTGTTTTATCTTTCTTAATTTTTGGTCCACAGTATGTACGTATTAAGGATGGCCTTAATAAATGAAATCAGCCAATAAAAACTCCATGTATTACTATTTTTTCTGCCTTTTAAAAGGCAGATTGGCTGGCAGTTCTTCAGTAGCATTATTACCATTGGTTAAGCTTTACAAAATACAGTCATACCTCAGATTACATATGCTCCAGGTTGTGTTTTTTTGGGTTGCGGACCACCGAAACCCAGAAGTACCGGAACAGGTTAGTTCTGGGTTTCAGCAGTCGCGCATGCATAGGAGCGCTAAATCGCAGTTTGTGCATATGCAGACGCACCGAATCGCAACCCACATGTGTGCAGACACACCGCTGTGGGTTGCGGACGCTGCGGGTTGCGAACGTGCCTCCTGCACGGATCGTGTTCGCAACCCGAGCGTCCACTGTAGTCGCAATGTACTAAGCTATCATTCACCAACCTCTAACAAGGGCATTCCAGGACCTAGACAACCCTTCAGAAGTGTGACAGTAGCACTTTAGCTTTTTCACTAATCATCAGTACATTCTCTGTTGCCAAGCCCTCACCAGAGACGCAATGGCCCATGGTTACTGCAGGCTGTGGTGTGACTGTTTGCTGTTCTAGGATCCTGAAACATGATACCATTTAAGGTTTTCGTTTTTCCGTTTCAAAACATCCATCACAATACCTCACTCATGTTGCATTTTGCAACCCGACAAATGTACACATTATCCCTCTGATTTTACAGATATTGACAAAACCCACAGTAATAAGCCTCAAAATAAGCAAAGGAGAGTGGGTTGGAAAGGTTGGAGAATGAAAGGTATCTATTAAAATAATAGATGAGAACATCTAAAGGTTTGGGATTATTGGAAGATGATTTTAGCATGGAAACCCTGAAGAGATAATAGGCTGTATTCTCTCCTACGTATTCAAAGCTACTGCTGCTTAATTATATGGATGAAGAAGAGGAATTGTACTGATGTTACATTATAAAGGCTCTTGTGGCTGGAGATTACTAATGGGAGGAAAAGTGATTGAATTGCAACAGCATGGCAGTGGGTTTTCTCTCTCTCTCTCTCTCTAGAGTATTCACCATCATCGTAATGGAAAAATTTACTTGGAAGATTACAGCTTGGGAACCAAGGATCTAAAAGAGCACTTACTCCTGTATGAAAGTGCTTGGTCAGTCCTTAATATCCTTAAGGGCCATTTTCTAGCTATTCCCCTAGGCAGGTGTCAGCTAGAGGATGAGCTTTCTCTGTGTCAGAGGTCTGATTTGGGACATTCCTGCTAGAGATGTTCCCAGTGGGCATTTGCTCTGTAAGGACACTGAGCTAAAACCATTTTATTCCAGGCTTTCAGAGAACAGCAAGGTTGATTTTACTGCTGCTTTTTGTTGATAGACAGGCTGTTTCTGAGTGGGTTTTTTTAATGCATTCTACGCCATTTTGTCTGTGTCTGCACAATGGACATATGATGGAACATCCACAGCAAGTCTTAGAGTCACATGCTCCTGTGTGGCTGAGAAGGATTTGAAAGCTTTTTTGCTCCCTCAACCCAACATTTCCCTCCATGTTGCCAAGAGCAACAAACTGTAGTTATCATTGGCCCTATCTGCACTATTCTTTTAAAGAGGTATCATGCCACTTCAAACCATCATAGCTTCCCTCAAGGAATCCTGGTATGGTAGTCTGTTAAGGATGCTAAGAGTTGCTAGGAGACCCCTGTTCCCCTCACAGAGACTACTGTTCTCTGGGAAATGTAACTCCATGGGGGGGGGGAATAGGAGCCTCCTAACAACTCTCAACACCTTTAACAAACTACATTTCATTTGATTCTTTGGGGGGAAACAAAGGTGTTTAAAATAGAATGATACTGGCTTAAACGTGTAGTGCAAATGGAACCATTAAGTGCAGCAAGTTTGAAACAAGTTTGCTAACCGCAGTTCCTGTTTGAATAACAAGGGGAGCTGGGGTTGACTAAGGGTGGAAGCAGGAACTTTTGAACTCCTCTCAGCCTTGTGGGACAGTGAAAGGAAAGAGGGGAACAGGTGAGCCCAAGGCTCGCTAAAGTGTATTTCTGCTCATACGCATCATGCTAAATAATGGTTCAGCATGTGTAAATGTGGCCACTGATTGTATATTTTAGCAATTTTACAGTACCTTAAATGTTTTCTTATGCTGCTTCATTTTGAAGCTGCCTTCTTGAATTAAAAGTGTGGTATGTATAAATAGGTACCGCTCTGGCGGGAAGGTAAACGGCGTTTCCGTGCGCTGCTCTGGTTCGCCAGAAGCAGCTTAGTCATGCTGGCCACATGACCCGGAAGCTGTATGCCGGCTCCCTTGGCCAATAAAGCGAGATGAGCGCCTCAACCCCAGAGTCGGTCACGACTGGACCTAATGGTCAGGGGTCCCTTTACATTTATGTACACACACACACACACACACACAGGACCGGCCCACTCAAGAGGCAGAGTGAAGCAGCCGCCTCAGGTGGTGGAAGTCCCCAAGTCAGCGCCTGCATGGATCTTGCTGAAAATCGCTGATGCTGGTGCTGCTTCTTCACGCGTAGCAGAGGAAGTGGGGTTGTCAGCATGGTGGTGGTGGCAACAGGGTGGAGCAAAATGGGAAGCACCGGCACTGCACAGAGACAAGAAGATCAGCTCAACTGGACTGGATTTAATTCTGGAGGTTGTTGTCTGCCTGGGCACAACGAACATTGTGAGGACAGATGTGACATTGTGGATCTGGGGCTTCACGCAAATAAGCTGCCAAATCTCCAGGGGATCTAAGATGTTGCCTGGACTGCTCAGGGACTGTACCAGCATAGCCAGGCAGAATCTACGGAAGCCTGAAATGTAATGCATGTTTTAGGACAAAGGATTATTTTCATCATACTTCTCTTGCTCCCACAGTGAGCATTAAGTGCATCTTCTGTATTGTGTGTGGGGAAACTGGCTGTATTTTTTGCCACAAGTTCCGGATTGGCTACTGGGCAATTTTAAATCGAAGAAAATAATGAAGAAGAAAAAACACCCCACCACAATTTAGAGTGAAAAGACCCAGAAGGAGCATTTGTAATTATTTTATGCCAATCAATAATAGACACTCTTTCATCTGTAACTGAAAATACTGTCTATTTCAACAACTTCTACATTTATAAAACCCATCTATAGGTGCTTCTAAACTGTCACTGTTTTCAGATAGAAGCCAGTCATGTACAGTGGTACCTCGGGTTACATACACTTCAGGTTACAGACTCTGCTAACCCAGAAATAGTGCTTCAGGTTAAGAACTTTGCTTCAGGATGAGAACAGAAACTGTGCTCCAGCGGCGCGGCTGCAGCAGGAGGCCCCATTAGCTAAAGTGGTGCTTCAGGTTAAGAACAGTTTCAGGTTAAGAACGGACTTCCGGAACAAATTAAGTACTTAACCCGAGGTACCATTGTACTAGCAATTTCAGGTTGCGCTATGAAATATGATTAACAGCTCTTGCAAAGCAAAGCCACTTCCTCTAAAGATCTGAGTTTTTGTGGTAAGAAAAGTGATGCAAAAATGCAGTGGAAAGAGTAGGATAACACTTGCTTTGATGCAACATCATCAGAATTAAATAGCCAATGTCATCTAATCTCACTCCAACCAAATCAAGATTAATGCTCCATTAACAGCAACCTATGTGCTGTTATTTCCTCGGCACTGAACAAGTCTTATCACATTATATTGCTGATCTTTTATTTTTTATTGTCTCTCAAATCCTTTATTATTTTATTCACATAATATACATGCTTTACAGCAAACAACTCCAAAATAAGCAGACAACTCCAAAATAAAATTATATGTAACAAAACCATAAGTCTCATGTTTTTATTTACACTGATCTCCTCTCCGATACTTTTACTTGATATTTCTTGCTGCTTTCTGCTTTTCTTATAGAATCTTTATAAAAACGTTAATCTCTTAAATCCTATACCAATCTTTAACAATTTCAGTTAATCCTGTCACCTCCCTCCCCTCTTTATCTTTATTGCTGATCATTTTGAAAGCTCAAAGCAGCTCGAAACCAGTAAAAAAAAGTTTAAAACTACAGTATCTTCATGTGTTAAGTAAACCCTACAATAAATTCATGCAAATAAAAGCATAGTTAACTAATACCAAGCAACTCATTGCATACACCCCCCCCAATTCATCCCCCCAATCTTTCTTAAACCGAAACAATAAACTAATTTACACAGTTTTCCTATGCTTAGGTTTACATGAAACACATTTTAAAAATCCCTAGGTTTCTTGGTACTGTTTGTAGCCAATGTGAAGGTTTGTGGTGCAGAGAGTCAGTTTCAGAAGAGCTTCAGAGAAGACCCCCAACATCTGCACTGCTTGATGTTGGCCCAGAATGCCTTTGGAACAGCAGGCGCATAACCGCAGGAATGCTCAGTAGATTAATTCTTTGGAACGCTGGCCAATAAATCTGTAGCACATGCCAGGTCTCCAGGAGAAAATCTACATTAAGCTTGCATGCACTAGTTAGAATCGAAATTGTTCTGCTGCTTTATGAGAAAATGGGAAACACAATCCCATATCCTCCAGTGTTCACAGATAGCAAAAGGGGCCTGCTTGTGGCAACCTGCAGTTGCCATGCTATGGATCACTATCAGAGCCCCCCTCCTGGCCTGCAGTGTTGACCAACTTTGAGTAGTCCTACTGGCTGATAGCTTAGGGTTACCAGACGTCCCCAGTTCCCAGGGACAGTCCCCGGATTTGCAAATCTGTCCCCGGACAAATTCCACCCCCGGAATGTCCCCAGATTTGCGAATCCCCAGGAAACGTGGCAGCAGCAGCCTCAGCAGCCCAGAGCCAGCCTGGTAGCGCAGTCTGCAAAACATGGCAGGCTTGTTGGCATTTCTTCCAGAGGTTTCTTTCTTTCTTTTCAGGTTGCCTATAATTCAGCTGGAGGACATGGGTGGCGCTGTGGTCTAAACCACTGAGCCTCTTGGGTTTGCCGATCAGAAGGTCGGCGGTTCGAATCCCTGCGATGGGGTGAGCTCCCATTGCTCGGTCCCAGCTCCTTCCAACCTAGCAGTTCGAAAGCACGCCAAAAAGTGCAAGTAGATGAATAGGTACCGCTTCGGTGGGAAGGTAAATGGTGTTTCCGTGCGCTGCTCTGGTTTCAGTGTTCCGTTGTGCCAGAAGCTGCTTAGTCATGCTGGCCACATGACCCAGAAAAACTGTCTTCATGCTTTTTATGATGGAGGACCGCTGTAGCCACCCCCAACGACACGTTCTCAAGATGGAGGGGGAGGGAACAGCTGCAGTCGCCTGTGGTTCCTGCGCAATGTTTGCCATCTTGCCAAAGGTTGCAGGCAGCTTTACCTGCAGCAATTGCATGTTGATTGCCCTCTTAGAAGACAAAGTCCAGCAACTGGAGGAACGTGTAGCTACGCTCCAAAGAATTAGAGCTGGAGCTCTTCTTGGAAGCAACAGAGCACACCGTCTCCACCAAGGAGGAGACAGGGGACTCCCCTAAGAAGGAGGCTAGTTCACCAACACAGGAGCCAGATATATGGAGAAACGTGACTCAAAGAAGTAGGAGGCCCAGGGTTCGCTCTGATTGTTTAGAAATACACAATCGCTTTGAGGTCCTCTCCCCTAGCATGGAAGACGAAGAGCAGACTCCATTTGAGGATCTCTCCCTCATTACAGTCGATCAGGTATATGAAGATGAGCAGCAAAGTCAGTCCTCAGGGAATGTGCAGGCGACCTTGGAACGGACAGCTCACGGAAGAACCCCGACCAAACCTAAGAGGAGGCGTGCAGTGGTGATAGGGGATTCCCTACTGAGGGGAACAGAAGCAGTGATCTGTGGGCCTGACAAGATGTATCGGGAAGTGTGCTGTCTCCCCGGGGCTAAGATCCAAGATGTAACTGAATGACTGCAAGGAATCATAAAACCCACTGACAAATACCCTTTCCTCTTGGTTCATGTGAGAACCAATGACACTGCAAGCAATAGCCTCCAGAAGATCAAAAGAGACTACGAGGCTCTGGGCAGGAAATTGAAGCAATTAAATGCACAAATTGTCATCTCATCTGTCCTCCCAGTTGAACGACGTGGCCCAGGGAGAGAGGGGAAATAGTGGAAGTGAACAGCTGGCTTCGCAAATGGTGTAAACAGGAAAGGTTTGGATTCTTAGATCACGGACTGCAGTTTCTTGAAGATGGACTTCTGGCAAGCGATGGGCTGCACCTCACAACGGTTGGGAGGAATGTTTTTGCCAAAAATCTCAGAAACCTCATCAGGAGGGCTTTAAACTGACTACTGTGGGGGAGGGAGACAGTGCTCCTGAAGGTAGGAGTCTATCAATTGATGAAGATGATCATCCAAATGTCATAGACCAAATGGAGCAAACAGCACACAGACCTAGTGGTGGGAGGAAAAAATCCTTAAATAAGAGACACGGGGGAATGATTAATGGACTTCAATGTCTGTACACTAATGCGCAAAGCATGGGAAATAAACAAGATGAGCTTGAGCTCTTGGTACAGCAAACTAAATATGACATAATAGGCATCACTGAAACCTGGTGGGATAAGTCCCACGATTGGAATGTAATAATGGAGGGATACAATCTATTTCAGAGAAACAGACCAGACAAGAAAGGAGGAGGAGTGGCGTTATATGTCAGGGATGTGTATACCTGTGAAGAGATCCAATATTTAGAACCTCAAAGCCAAAGTGAGAGCATTTGGGTCAAAATTAAGGGAGAGAAGAATAACAGTGACCTCATTGTGGGAGTTTACTATAGATCCCCAAGCCAAACGGAGGACATAGATGATGCCTTCCTGGAACAGATGGCCAAGCATGCAAAAGGAAGGGAGATTGTAGTAATGGGGGACTTCAATTATCCGGATATTTGTTGGATGTCAAACTCAGCCAAGAGCATAAGGTCAAACAGATTCCTCATTGGCCTTGCAGACAACTTCATTGTCCAGAAAGTGGGAGAAGCAACAAGAGGAACAGCCATTTTAGATCTGGTCCTAACCAATGTTGATGACCTGGTTAGTGGGGTAGAAGTGGAAGGATCATTAGGCGCGAGCGATCATGCTCTTCTGAAGTTTACTATACAGCGGAAAGGAGCAGCCAAGCATACTAGGACTCAATTTCTTGACTTTAAGAAAGCCGACTTCATAAAACTTAGGGAAGTGCTGGGTGAGATCCCATGGACAGTAATATTAAAAGGAAAGGGAGTTCATGATGGCTGGGAGTTTGTTAAGAGGGAGATAGTAAAACCACAACTTCAGGCAATACCAATGAGACGGAAACATGGAAGGTGCCTAAAGTAGCCAGGGTGGCTATCTAAAGAACTTTTAACTGAGTTAAGATTAAAAAAGGATGTATACAAAAAATGGAAAAGGGGGGAAACCACCAAAGAGGAATCCAAGAAATAGCCAGCACGTGTAGACACAAAGTCAGAAAAGCTAAAGCACAGAATGAACTCAGGCTTGCTAGAGAGGTTAAAAGCAACAAAAAAGGCTCTTATGGGTATGTTCGTAGCAAAAGGAAGAACAAAGAAACAGTGGGGTCACTCAGAGGAGAAGATGGTGAAATGCAAACAGGGGACACAGAAAGGGCTGAACTCCTCAATGCCTTCTTTGCCTCAGTCTTCTCCGATAAAGAAAACAATGCCCGACCTGAATCATTTGGAGCAAATGATTCAGCAGAGGAAACACAGCCCAGAATAACTAAGGAGATAGTACAAGAATACTTGGCTAGTCTAGATGTATTCAAGTCTCCAGGGCCAGATGAACTGCATCCAAGAGTATTAAAAGAACTGGCAGATGTGATCTCAGAACCACTGGCAGTCATCTTTGAGAATTCCTGGAGAACAGGCGAAGTCCCGGCAGACTGGAGGAGGGCAAATGTTGTCCCTATTTTCAAAAAGGGGAAAAGAGAGGACCCAAATAATTACCGCCCAATCAGTCTGACATCAATACCAGGGAAGATTCTGGAGCAGATCATTAAGCAAACAGTCTGTGAGCACCTAGAAAGGAATGCTGTGATCACCAATAGTCAGCATGGATTTCTGAAAAATAAGTCATGTCAGACTAACCTGATCTCGTTTTTGACAGAATTACAAGCCTGGTAGATGAAGGGAACGCAGTGGATGTAGCCTACCTTGATTTCAGCAAGGCATTTGACAAGGTGCCCCATGATATTCTTGTAAAGAAGCTGGTAAAATGCGGTCTTGACTATGCTACCACTCAGTGGATTTGTAACTGGCTGACTGACCAAACTCAAAGGGTGCTCATCAATGGTTCCTCTTCATCCTGGAGAAGAGTGACTAGTGGGTTGCCACAGGGTTCTGTCTTGGGCCCAGTCTTATTCAACATCTTTATCAACGACTTGGATGATGGACTCAAGGGCATCCTGATCAAATTTGCAGATGACACCAAACTGGGAGGGGTGGCTAACACCCCAGAGGACAGGATCACACTTCAAAACGACCTTGACAGATTAGAGAACTGGGCAAAAACAAACAAGATGAATTTTAACAGGGAGAAATGTAAAGTATTGCACTTGGGCAAAAAGAATGAGAGGCACAAATACAAGATGGGGGACACCTGGCTTGAGAGCAGTACATGTGAAAAGGATCTAGGAGTCTTGGTTGACCACAAACTTGACATGAGCCAACAGTGTGACGCGGCAGCTAAAAAGCCAATGCAATTCTGGGCTGCATCAATAGGAGTATAGCATCTAGATCAAGGGAAGTAATAGTGCCACTGTATTCTGCTCTGGTCAGACCTCACCTGGAGTACTGTGTCCAGTTCTGGGCACCACAGTTCAAGAAGGACACTGACAAACTGGAACGTGTCCAGAGGAGGGCAACCAAAATGGTCAAAGGCCTGGAAACGATGCCTTATGAGGAGCGGCTAAGGAGCTGGGCATGTTTAGCCTGGAGAAGAGGAGGTTAAGGGGTGATATGATAGCCATGTTCAAATATATAAAAGGATGTCACCTAGAGGAGGGAGAAAGGTTGTTTTCTGCTGCTCCAGAGAAGCGGACACGGAGCAATGGATCCAAACTACAAGAAAGAAGATTCCATCTAAACATTAGGAAGAACTTCCTGACAGTAAGAGCTGTTCGACAGTGGAATTTGCTGCCAAGGAGTGTGGTGGAGTCTCCTTCTTTGGAGGTCTTTAAGCAGAGGCTTGACAACCATATGTCAGGAGTGCTCTGATGGTGTTTCCAGCTTGGCAGGGGGTTGGACTCAATGGCCCTTGTGGTCTCTTCCAACTCTATGATTCTATGAAACACCGGCTCCCTTGGCCTGTAAAGCGAGATGAATGCCGCAACCCCAGAGTCGTCTGCGACTGGACTTAATTGTCAGGGGTCCTTTACTTTTTATAATTCAGCTATCTCTATTTACCAGGGGTGAATCTTACTTTCCAGACTCTGGACTTTCCCCTTTGTGAGGATGCTTTGTCAAACTTTGTGTTAGTCTGAGTTGCTAGAATTCTCTTTCTTCTGTTTTCTTCCCAGGGTCTGTAGATTCATGAAAGGCTCTTGAATATTTTAAGGTAAATAAGGTCAGTCATAATGAAGCAATAAAATAATCAAGTGCTTTAAAACCCCATTGGAATTAATTTACATTCATCATTTATGTTTCAGTATCATAAAATGTTGGAGGCGCTTATTAGGAAGTAGCTCAGCTGTTTTTCCCTTTTAGAACAGTTTAGCAAATTAGGCAATATGAGGACATAAGAAGAAACCTGCTGAATCAGAACAAAGGCTTGTCTAGTTCAGCATTCTGCTAATTCAGATAGCTATGGGAAGTCCTTCAGCAGCACCTGAGCACTGCAGCACCCTCCCCACTTGTGGTATTCAGAAGCATCCCACCTCCAACAGTGGAGGTAGTAAACAGACTATCATGGCTTGCTATCGCTGATAGCCTTATCTTCCATGAATCTGCCTACGTACCTTTTAAAACCGTGTGGTAGTGAATTCTATAGTTTAAATGTGGGCTTTTCTCTGCCCTGAATTTCCCAACATTCAGCTTTATTGGATGATCCCATGTTTTAGTATTGCAAGCAGAACATCTCTCTATCCAATTTCTCCGTACAATACAAAATTTGTATTGTACTGGTAGGTTAACCTCCCCATGAGTGCGTACATGTGGGTGCATAAATGAGTGAATGTATGTGTGAATAGCCCCATCCACCACTATCCCAGGCCCCACACACTTCCAGTTCTAGCCACACTTACTAACATGTGCCCCCTGACTGCCCACTGCATGCTGCATGTTGCCCCCTCACTCAACGGTATCTTGCAGCAATAAGAAAAGAGTCTTCACTTTGAATTTACCCATAGTAATCACAGCTTGAAGAATGCTGTCAATGCAGTTAAGCCAATAAAGGTATATTAAAGCCCTTCTGGAGAACATTACCTTGAGTTTGAGGACTCATTTTGCTTTCCAGCCGAGCTGCACAGCCAGACATCCTGTTATATTATGACCACATTGTGCAGTTATGAGGATGCACAATGAGAAGAAATTTGACAATTGCTGGCTTTGGTTGCATTACCTTAAAGCAGGTTAAAAATGAGTGTGAATCGAGTGTTAGCATAGAGGTTGAAAAGCATCCAGCTCGCTGGAAGAAGAAAACACATATGATGATGATAACACCAAAATTAGGAGCTTCTCTAATGAGCACCCTTAACCAAACCAAATCCTAATCTGTTCACAGTTAATGTTCAGAATTGAAATTACATTATGAATCCAGGCCAGCAGTTCAGCAACATGTTTGCAATGACAGTACTCTCTGCTCGAACACACCCGCCATTTTCTTGTCCAGTGGTGATGACTTGAGCCACAGACTGTGGGTGCCCAGCACACGTGTGCTGAGCTGCAATGGCGACTGGGCCAGGACCTGTACCTGTGCCACAGAACTCCAACAGAGACCCTGTGGCAGAGGCATTGAAGGTCCTACCTATCTAGGTAGGTCCCTATCTGTTACTAGGAACATCAAGGATGCTGCAAGAGTCAAACGACAGCGGGCCCTGGCCCAGTCACCACAACAGCACCAGAGGTAAGGCAGCTGCAGGCAGCAGGGAGCGGAGGCTAGACACCCACAGCAAAACTTTTGTGGGTGCCTGGGCAGCCAGGGACCCTTGGAGATGGTGCCAGTGTTTTTCTCTATCTGACAAAGGCATCTTTACAAGCTACCTCCTGGCATTTCTTAACACTCCCTTTCTTCCCAGTCAGGTGATGCTTTGGGACTTAAAAACATACTTGTTCATCCAGTCATTTGATGGATGCGAGATACTTCTTGCACCAACCTTCAGCTGTGCACATATGTGACTTTTAAATGTGATTAGTTTTTATATGTTCTCAATGTTTTAAATATCCTTTTATTTTATTTTAATTGTATTGTTTTACTACTTTGTTGTTTGCCCTTCTTGACTCCTTTGGGAGGAAGGGTAGGACAGAAACTTAACAAACAGAAAAATAAAACCTGAGCCACAACAGATTCAGGAGAAAAAACAAAAGAACTGACTAAACGCTCTACCTTTGACAGAGTACAGAATGGATATTATACCTTCAGCACCTTCCTGGGTGACTTAAGCCTGGGGGGAAGCTGCAAGGTATTTCTGAAGCTAAAGCTGCAAAGAAGCAGAATGATTATTTTTGTGGATTTGTCCAATGGAACAGAGAAAAGTATCAGAAACTGTAATTCACTATGCTGAAAGTGCTGGAAAGTGATATTTCCCTAGTCTACCTTGCTTATAAATAATGAGGAATTTGATGGCCAGAGTCTGACTCACAGAGGGTTCATCCACACATTTACTTGACCTGCATTTTGATTGTATTGTGTACCAATTAATTCTCCCAAGACGGAGAGCTTTCTTCATTGTTCCATGGCTGTGGCTTGCAAAAATCCAATCTTAGCTGCTCAACTGAAGCTCGGTTAAGCAAAATCTCTCTTCAGATTTTTCATGCATCTGATAAGTTTGGATTCAGCAGGTAAGATGGGACAAGGAGACAAGCCCTCAGACCCAGGGGAATTGAACGATACACAATATGATCAAAATATGGGTCAAGCGAAAGAGTGGCTGTGACTAGAGTTGCTTTCTCCAAACTAAATGCAATAGTGAACCCAACCCACTCATAATTACAAGACGCAACTGTAACTTCAAATCATTTGGGCACATTTCAAAACCTTGCTCTGATAGATGCCTGAGGCATTCAGCATGACCTTGCACTAAAAGGTGAAAGGGTAATGGTAAAGGACCCCTGGACTGTTAAAGGCATTCCACAGGGTGGGCGCCACTACCAAGAAGGCCCTCTGCCTGGTTTCCTGTAGCCTCACTTCTCGCAGGGAGGGAACTGCCAGAAGGCCCTCGGAGCTGGACCCATAGCTGTCAATGTTTCCCTTTTTTAAGGGAAATTCCTTTTTCCGAATAGGATTTCCCTTAAAAAATGGGAAAAGTTGACAGCTATGGCTGGACCTCAGTGTCCGGGCAGAATGATGGGGGTGGAGACACTCCTTCAGGCATACTGGGTATTGAAGGGGTTGACCTGAAAAGAGTCTTGAAGGCCAGGCAGAAAGGCCTAGAGGTCCACATTCAGCCAATGGATAAGAGGTTCCCCACCCCTGATTTACATTACCTAGCTGCAAATCTCCTTAAAACGTGTGCAGCTCACAGTATGGTAAAATGTTCACACAGTGCTGTATGGTCTGCATTTTATAATCCAGATGGCCACTAAGTTTACCAGAAGGAATAACAGCTTGAACAGGTTTCCCCCTACTACATATTTCTTTCCATATCCCCCCCTTTATTTTGTTAACCTGATGGTGCACACAACCACCAGTTCAAAAAGTTCTACTCACCCCTTTATCTTTCCTTACTTTCCAAGTTCAATGTACTGATCACAACTTCCTCCTCATAGTAATAGCCATTGCTCTTTGGTTCCGTTGTGAAACATCTGCGCCTTCCTTGGGTTTTGCCTGGAGTCTACAATATTGGTGAGGATTGGTGGCCCCAGTTTTGGACACCTGTCAAATCATCAATAAAGTAATGACAGCCTGCCAGTTCTAAATGCTGCTGAGAAAGGGAACAGAAATGGACAATCTACTCCGTTCTTCATCATAATTCCTTGACCCCACCTCATCTGCTTCAGGAAAGATTGCTCCTGGATACCTTTGCAAGATGCTGAACATTTTATTTGATATTGATATTTCATTAAAGTTACCACATTTCTACAATAACATAATTTGGTCTCCCCTCTCCCTTGATCCCTTCCTCACTGTGGATCCCTTAACCTCTTTGGAATGAGCATTTTCATTTCTGTTGTACAGTCACTCATGTATTGGGTGAGTGTGTGCTGAGCAGTTAAGTGTCAGAGTGAAATAATAATAATAATAATAATAATAATAATAATAATTTATTTATTACCTACTCCACCCATCTGACTTGGTTGCCCCAGCCGCTCTGGGCTGCTTCCAACAGAATATAAAAAGAAACACAATACATCAGCTTTTCAATACAGGGCTGCCTTCAGATGCCAATGGAAGGTTGTATAACTGCTTCTCTCTTTGACACCTGAGGGGAGGGTGTTCCACAGGACGGGCCTTTGTTTCATCATCATCATCAGTTATTTATACTCCACCCATCTAGCAAGGTTTCCAGCAATTGGTGCAATTGGTGGAGTAAACAGGGGAACAACTGAGTTGTTATATACTGAAGTTCTCACCCTGGTCCAGCAGGGGGATACTGTAGATAGTTTTCACTCAGGTCCACACATGCAAATAAGGGATTGACAGTGACGTTCAGTGATTGGATAGTTACAGAAAATGGTTACTGTTGCATTGTAGTGGAGCTCTATAATAGCAGGCTGGCTGAACCCTTCAGTTCAGTTCTGTTCTGGCCTGTGAATAAACAAGAGCTGTTTGAAGAATCGCTGTGTCGTCTGATATGTTCACCCACAACTTAACATGAGTGACAGAGCATCTGTCTTGCATACAGAAAACCCTGCATCATGTTACGATATGGATGCAATGCAGCTGCAAACTGCTAGCTTGAAAACATCACATGATGGAATGTTGGGACTGTTCCGTGGGAAACAGAGGGACAGTCAATTCACAGGGCAATGCACCGGAATTAGCTCAGAGTGTAATATGAGCTCTTCCTCTTGTTCTTGTACAGGAAGTACAGGAAGTCTTTGTCACTCGACTGCTGGAGTTTGAAGAGAGCAGTCATGTTTTCTGTAATGCTGCAAAGACAGAAATAAAAGCATGCAAATACATTTCTGTCTATCTCCTTTTCCCTGCCGGGGGAGCAGGAGGGAGGGGGTGTGTTCTTTGCACATTTGGGAAGAATTGCCTATCGAGACCTAGCCTGGATCTTGCTCGGGAATGCAGCCAGGGAGGTCAATAGGAGACCAAGCCGGGTGCCTGGGAGAGTTGCCAGCTTCTCCCGATAAAGGCTTGATTTCCGACACATCATTCCTGGTAGGCATGGGATTTCCCCCTGTCTGAAATGCTGGATTGCTGCTGCTACCAGTCAGTGTAGACAATACCGAACAAGCTGGACTAATGTTCTGTCTTTCTGAAAGGCAGCTTCCTTATACAAAAGTTTCTGTTTCTGCAATGTGTTCCCCACTTTTTGTGGCTTTTGAAGATACTTGAAGAAGAGCTCAAAGAAACCACTCCAAGTCTCTTGAAAGTTTTATGTAGTTTACTCAATAGGATGTTCTTGTGAGCCGCTAGTTGAAAAAGGTCCTGCATTCAACTTTCTGTGCCTAGTGTGACACAGGAGGGTTCCAGAAGGTTTCGGCAACTTTGCTTTAAGAATTTTGTGGGAAGGTTATTTTAACAAATGCAAACACTGTGCTGAGTACAAAACAGGAAAAGGCATTATGTGTGTTGGTTCTTTAACATGAACAGAGAAGAAAGAAGAATAGACTGGCAACAAAGAACATTTCAAATGAATCTAGGCTCTCCCTGGATTAGAAACAATTACGCACAACCTTAAATTTGTGTTCCCTGTTGTCTTGTTTCTCTGTTCTCAAAACATGGTTAATAGTGCTGCTAAGTGTTTGCTGAGTATATCAAAAAAATAAATTGAAGCACACTGGAGTGCACAAACGTTTCCACTGGAAATTACAGCAAGGTGTTGGATAAGACCACTTGGGAACTTAATTTGGAAAGTAATTTGTGACTTGAGTTCTGCACAGCTACCTATGGATAAACTGAACTTGTGCTCAATGCACCAAACACCAGGTAATGTGAGAAAAATCCTGTAGTGTGTACAACAGCAGCATTAAGTAAGAAGGGACATCGGTTCTGTGTCTGAGGACTGGAGGACAAGAACAAACCTACTTGAAAGCAAGTAGGCAGCAGCCTAAGGTTCATCTAGACAGTAGGGCCTATTTTATATGTGAACCTCCATTGTATGATATGGGTGTCATAGGGGTTTGGTTTAACAGATTAATCAAATGAGGCAGAACATGTTATATAGCACCGTCCTTTAGAAATATGTTAGCATTTTTAGTTGATAGGCATGTAGCATAGTTCTGCTCATTGGCAGCAAAAGTCAGTCACGTTATATGAAGAATGAAGGCTAGATAAGTATATTTTGAAGAAGAGACAGGTCTTAGGCAACTCCTATTAGGAACCAGTTCTGTGTGCAACTGGACACAAATTGGATGTATGCATCAGTAAAACATACAATAATCAGGCTAAATTAAGTAAAGTAAAAGGTAAAAGCCTTGGAGCTGATCTAATTTGTAGGGGTGGAGTTCTCAGAAAAATATCTAGGGTTGCAATATTTTGAAGTGCAAAAAGGAGGACACATTTTCCAACTTCTACTTTTAACTATGGATCACTATAATGACTCTCATTTTACATACCCATGAAAAAGAGGATGTGTCCTGGAAAAAGAGGACATATGGCAACCCTAAAAGATCCAACACTGCTTGAAGGAACTTCACATCTTGAATCGTTTTTCCTACCTACTTTGTGGTGCCGTCTCTCTAGTGGTAAAGGTGGGCATAGCAGCTGTACTTAAGAATCGCACGTTGGGGTCTATCA